GGTAAAGACTAATATTATTTTCTTAATTAGTGGAGTGGATAAGGGAATACTTTCGCGCTTGATAAAACAAGAGAATGGGCTGCGAGAAGAATGGGCACAATGTAAAGGACGAGGAGGAACTTCCAATAAACGGAAGCGATGAAGGCAAGGATCCAGACGTCGATGAGGGCCTTAATGGTTTGCCATTGTTACTGGACGTGCTGTGCGAGTAAGCGGCCCAATGTTAAAATGCAAAGCAGAAGAACTCGCTAAAAAGCTGGGCCACAATGACTTTAAAGCTACGGACGGTTGGTTGCCTCGATGGAAATCTAGACATGACACAAAATTCAAGAAAGCAAATGGCACGAGAAAGAAAGTGCTGATAGTGCAGATGCTGAAGAATGGAAATCAGCAAAACTGCTCGAGGCTTCTGGAAAATTTTTCAGCAGATGACGTTTACAATGCTGATGAAACTGAGCTGTATTATCGTGCTACACCGGACAGCTCGTTAAGTTACAAACATGTTGCACTCTCTGGCTCCAAGAAAGCGATGGATTGTGTAACTGTCTTGTGCTGCTCAAACATGTTAGGAACGGACAAGAAAAAGCTGTTGGTTATAGGAAAAGACTCTAAACCTCGCTACTTTAAAGGACTTAGGATGGACAGTTTACCAGTTGTTTACTTGCTAACAGAAATGCGTGAATGACCTATGACCTTTTTGAAGAATGGCTGAAGGATTGGAACAGAGAGCTACAACATCACTTGAGCTGCTGCTTCTTGACAATTGTGCAGCACATCCTTATTTAGATTGCTTAAAGAACATCCAACTAGAATTTCTACCTCCCAGGACAACAGCTTTGGTCCAGCCAATGGACATGGGCATCATAAAAAATTTGAAGACCCTTTATCATGCAAGGTTAGTTAATTACATCCTTGAAGCAAATGAAGAACGTTTGCTGACCTTGTCATCAAAAGCCAGCAAAAGTCACTGCAAAGGTCAACATCTTACAAGCAGTTACATTTGTGGCCGACAGCTGCCGAAAAGCAAGCAGTGAGGCAATTCAGTGTTTTTCTCACTGTGGCTTTAAGCACTCAGTTTTGGAGATGGATGTGGACATACTTATTGAAAGTGAAAATGATGACTGACATGTGGAACTCCAACAGGTACAAAATTGCGAAGAATTTTTATACATCGATAACGAGCTTCAATGCTACGATGAAAATGAAGATTACGACACTGCAATCGTTGCAGCAAAACACACAACAGCATCGGGAGACCAAGGAAGTGATGTTGATGCTGCTGCTAATATGTTGGTGCAAGTGACAACACAGGATGCGAGGAAATGAATTGAAACTTTGTATCGGTATATCATGCAGGAGGGAAATGAAGGCCCTAGATACTTGTGGCGATTTTGTTCACGTGCAATCTGTCAAGAGAACGCATCGGATCACATTGGATGAGTTCTTCGAATGTTGATTGGAACTTGGTAAGAACTCGTTTTTAATGTGCTTCGCATGCTGAGTGTCATGGAGATCATTTCTTAGAATTTGTTTCTAAATTAATTTTCTCAATGAAAAAAGTTCAACTGTAGTTCTTGTTTCTACATGTATGTTCGCCATACGTGTGTACCGCACAATAAAGGTCATAATTACATTTTAGTACATGAATTACATGTACATTTACTGTGTGCTACATATAGCACGTCCCATCTTACAACATAGGACATGTTCATGTAATTGGATTAGCCGGTTATTAGGACTAAAACGATCGCTTCCAGATGTGGTCCAATTAACTGGAATCGACTGTATACAATCAAAAGACTTTGATCCGGACTCATCGGGACTTTGGCGATTCTGGATTATCGGTTTTTCCAGATTATAGATCATCAGTTTAAATCTGGTAAGATGGCATGCAGAAATTATAAAATTAAAAATATTAAACCGTAATTTATGAAATAAAGAACAATTATGATTTAAAGGGTATCAAAATTTACACACAAAAAAAGAGCTTAATATTTATTTGTTTACTTTATTAAAAATTTCTTTTAATGTAAGTTGTTTAAGTAGCTTTGTTTTATGTGCTAATACTTTCTCTTTAATTCTATAAACAGACATAATTTCTTGTTCATTTACAACGTTCTATAATTGCTGTGTCAAGAATACCGACTAATTTGTCAATTGAAATTTTTTCGTTTTCAATAACCTCTCTGTCACTTTCTTCATTGACGGAAGCAGTACATTGAAACATGCTTTCGCTTTGATGCTTTGGCAGCTCCAGAATCGGAAACTCTTTTCGACATAATCGAAAGTTCAAGCTTACTTTTTATAAAATTGCTCTAACAGTCTGCAAAAAATAATAAGCTGGATCCAATTAGAAGATTAAGGAACAACGCAATCTGCAACATTAAATAGATAATTTTAGCCTAGCTTATACTGTTCGTTATACATTATGTGCATGCGCAGAAAGCTTTGAGATCCGGATTATAGATCATTCCGGATTATGGATTTCCGGATTAAAGCCTTTTGACTGTATATATTTTAATTAATGTCATGTGTTGTAACTTTAACCTTGAGTAATTTTGTATGTTGCCTTTATTAATTTATTATTTTATCTTTTTGAATTAGTGACTTTGTTAAATGTTCATAGTCACACTCAGTGTATTACATAAGCTATACACTGAGTAATCAGTGTATTACATAAGCTATACACTGAGTAATACACTTCTACCAAGTATATGTATGGTACTGTGTCATACCTTTACATGTATTTTAATTATCTACAGAACTCATTAACTGTTCATGCTGTGGAAGCACATTAGCAGTATTTATCCATCTCTAGCATCGTTCTTACTGCTTTGACTCTTCTTCCATAACTGAACCATTTACTCGTCAAGCACCTTTTTTGGCACCTTTCAGCACTGGTCGAAACACTTGTCTAAATTGTTTTGTGGACTTTTGGAAAGGGACTGAAAAACAAAATTTTACTTGCCTCTTTGCCAACGTAATTCTGGTGAAAATGGAATATCTTGGTAATATTTACTTGTTCAAGCATTAAAATTTGCTTGAACAAGTAAATATTACTATATCAAGACTTATTATGCTTGAATTTTGAGGTAGGTGCTTACATTTTTTGAAATCTGAAGTAGAAGTTGCAGCAGTATCAGGTAGGTGTAATTTTGGTTTAAAAGTAAATAGAAGTCACAAACACTCATCATCCCATATATTGACCATTATAAGTTTTGATTTGGTTGAGAAATATCATTTTTGTCTTCATATGATATTCTCATTGATTTGGTCTGATGATTCTCATTTAGTCTACTGGAAAGTTCTGTCCGTTTCTATGACAACAATTTTCGACATGTAAGCACATATTTATTTGGTGCATGTTCGGCTCACTATTTTTATCGCTTAATGTTTACATACTGGTGTAGAAAATTAACTAAAACAAAGTTGATAAGTGTGAAGCGATAGTGTACCCATGGTTACTGATGAAGTTCATTTTTGCCGCTCTATTTTATATGAATATCAACAAGGAAGAAATGCTACAGAAGCATGTAGAAATTTATTGAAAGTATTTGATGAAGCTACAATTTCTTATAGGATATGCAGAAAATGGCTAAAAAAAATTGAAACGGGCGATTTCGAACTTTCTGATGCATTCTGGGCGACCATCTTTGATTGACGATGATGATGTTAAGACCATGTTGGAGCAAGTTCTATTCTGACAACATCAGAGATCGCAGAAAGGCTTGGTTCAGCTCAACAAACCATTTTGGACCATATTTGGAAGATAAGATTGGTGTGGAAATATTCAAGGTGAATTCCACATGAATTCTTTGCCACATGTGTCAGAAGAATTTGGATGATCGAGTCGTCATATGAACATTTCTGCTTGCTTGAACAAAATCGAGCCCTTCTTAAACTGGGGATAAAAAGTTAATTACCTATGAAAATATCGTAAGGAAAAGGGTATACTGTGAACCCGGTAAACCTAGCCCTTCCACCTCTAAACCAAATTTGACTTTGAATAAGAAAATATTGTGGTACATTTGAGGACCAATACATTATGAGCTTTTAAAATGGAACGAAAAGCTCAATTCGTAGATGTATTTTCAGCAACTAGATAATTTAAAGACAGCAGTTTAAGAAAAGAAGCCGGCTATGTTCAGTAGGATGGTTATCATATTGCATCATGATAAAAATGGCAACATGTTGCTTTGGGGACTCATAAAAAAATTGCAGAACTCTGCTGGGAAATTCTGTTGCATCTACCAGCACCCTCTGACTTTGTCCTTGAAAGGCAAAAAATTAAAAAATGAAGTTACCAAGCAAGCACTGGTTCAATTTTTCGCATCAAAAGACAAAACATTTTTCAAAAAATGGGATATACAGATTGCCTTCACACTGGCAAGAATTCATTAATTATATTAGCAATTATATTATTTAATTAAGTTTATTGATGGTAAGAAAAATTTGTATTTTGTTTTATTCAAAAAATAGACAGAACTTTCTGGTAGATCGAATACATCTCAATGTAACAGAACAGTACTTCTTAAAGAGAAACTTATATCAAATTTATATATTAGTCGATTTTTTTAAAGTTAACTGCCAATGTCAGGTTGAATTTTCTGTAATTCTAAAGTTTGAATTAATGTGCCTTTTCCATCTAAATATTAAAATTTTAAGATGTGAAATCATTGATGCTTACATATATTTATATTTTTGTGTTTATAAAAACTCATTTTTATGCATGTTTTGTCATAATTAAATTACCAAATCAAGTTTGATTTGTGTTTTGTTAGTTCCGAGTTTAATGAGTATGTTTTTTAAGTATATTCATGTCTTGAGAAGAAACACTGAGCTAATAATGAAAATAATTTAACTTTGAGGTTAATCACTTTAAATGTGTATGCATTTGTTCTAATTAAAATTGCAGCATCACTATTTTATTCCTTTTTCTTTTCTTTTTAGTTAATATAATACTTTTTGAAAAAACTAAAAATTTTTTTTTCCCCCTTCAGAACATGGGAAGTTAACATCGATACTCCAAACAGATATGATAATTGGAGAAACATGTTTATTCAGCGTCCTCATTTGTCTTTCAATGGTAAGTTTTTAATTTACTGTTGTAAATCTTAATATATCATTTCAGACTTGTATTATATGATCGAAACTGAAATATTTTATGAGAATTATGGTTAGAATTAAGGCTTAAGATTTAAGCATTTAAATGCAATTTTTAACATCCCCACATTTAACTTTTTGTATAGCGGACTTCAGTTTCTTCTTTAATACCATTCAGCTGTGCTATTGATAACCTGAATTGCAGTTAAAATTAGAATTTGTTTTAATAAAAAAATGAAAGCAGATAAATTTATATGCAATATTTTGTGTAAAGTATAATCCATTGATAGAAGTAGACAAAATAAATTTTTAAATGAAATAAAAGGATGAATTCTTTAAAACGGCTCTGTCTAATTTGGGTCAAATTCCTAGCTGCTATCTTAGTAACGAGGTATTTGTTGTTTTGGCCAAGATGATAATAAAATTTGTTATGTTAAAATTACAGTTAGTTACATAGTTCTCCATCACAGCAATCATTGCTCTTCACCCCCTTGAATATAGCACATAAGAATATTACCAAAATATTTTCTTCACACTATTGAAACTTAACCAAAAGAGAAACTACAATAAATTCACAAAGATTATAAAACGGTACTTTATAAATTATGTATGGAACATTCAGAAAATTTTTATATACAAGGTGGTTAAAATTGAAACACTCCTACTCTGAGCTCTCTATACATTGAACTACTGAGTGTAAAGGCTCCAGAATTGTTAAACATACTATTCAAGAAATGGGAATACGGATTACATTAAAAAAAAAAAAAAAAAAAAAATTAGTTCCAGAAAATTTTATTTATTTTTAAGGCGACATGTTTGACTCTTGTTTATAAAAGTTTATTTATTGAAATTATAAGACAAGGTCATCTCCCCCCCACATACACAATGTGAAATCTTTAACGCTAAAATGTCATAATTATCACAGGAAAATTTTCAGAGAGGACTGAAGTAATATCATAGTTTGATGAAAAGTTATCCAAGATTTTAGAACAGTTGTTGAATATTTATTACATGGGAAATTTTAAGGCTCAAAATTTTATTCATTTTAAGGTGGGATATTTTGACCCCCCCTTTTTTAATGTCTAAAACTGTTTCGTTTAATTGTAAAAATTCATTCAGTCCATGATGCATTTTTAATTTAATATTTTTAGTTGAAATATGTTTGCTGGATTATTTTGAATGTGGTTAGTTTCCCATTTTTTTTTTAACTCGCCACTTCCCTTTTCGAGGTACCTTTTTGGCGTGTGAAGTTTCTTCAACATCCCAAGCCTTTGTAACATGTGAGATGACTTTCTAATGTAATCTCTGGGTACTAACTAAAGGTGCTGAAAATGTTTTTAGGTATTCATTGTACTTAACTAAATTATTAACTAAAATTCATCGCACAATGTGGAAATGATGATGATTAAAGACTTCTCAAAGTATTTATAGTAATGAACCTGACTAAACATGCACAGATTCCTGTTGCAGCACATGCAGTGAAAAGACATCGACATGCTACGTGATTGGATATCATTGCAAGTACGAATTTACAATCATGCTTTTAAAATGCTACATTGACAGTTTATAACTTTATTCCCTTGAAACAGAAAAATCAACCTACATACAACTTGGATAACATTGGATAACAAATGCGAAAGATCAGCTGATAAAATTTATTATGGATTCATGTAAAAATTCCTAACTGTAGTATTTGTATAATCAGGTGAAAGTTTAAATGTTTACTTCAGAAAGAAACCAAATTTTTCAGAAATACTGTTTTTTCATTCTTGCCTTCTTATTACTTCCAGTTCAATAATGTCTTCTTCCCCCCCCCCCCAAGATCTCAGTGGATATTGGTGAAAATCTATGGTTTATATAAAGACTTAATGTGAAGATTTTTATTTTGAGATTATTCAAACATGAAGTAACCTGATTATACGTTCAACTAACATTTCTTTTCTTTAACTATGTGCAATTCATTTGCATAGTTATAAGTTATATTTGTTATTTATTTTTATAGGTGTATATATAAGCAAAACAACATATGTGAGATATGGAGAATCTTCATTTCAAGATACAAATTACAGGCCATGCTATTTAGTTGAATATTATAGATATATACGATTCTTTCCAGATGGTATGTATAGTTTTTATTAGATTTAAATAAGTAAATTTAGCGTCTTTAAGTGTAATGTACAAAATTTGGTTAGCAGTAGACTTTAAATGTATATTAATTGCATTATTTACACACAACCAAGAAAGTATATGTAAAAATTATTTTTTTATTAAAGAGAAACAAATGTTTAAGTACTAGAGATTCTATGCATTTTGAAGTACAGTACAAAGTCTTTAATCCAGACGTCCATAATCCGGACCTCAGAGCTACAAACTTTCTGCGCATGCGTAAACGCACTATGCGTTTTACCTTTACGCATGCACATAATACGTTTGCACGCAAATAAAAGAGCATGGCTAACACAAGCGTTGATGAATGATTGGTTTGAAAATCATTTTATACCCGAGGTTTGGCGACATTTGAATTTGGTTGGTTTACCTGATACTCAAAAATTGTCCTGATTGTTGATAACTGTTCGGTGCATACTTCACTTAAAGTTTTAGTGAAAGATAATGTATCCGAATTATTCTTCCCTCCAAATAGTATGTCTATCATTCAGCCTATGGATATGTGAATAGTGCACGCGCTGAAATGCAAATATAAAGTAGCATTTTAAAAATCTATGTTAAATTTCTTGAACAGTGGCAAGACTTTTTTAAAATTTTTTAGCATAAAATCTGGTGTGTGGAGCATCGCAAGATTGTAGGAGATGTGTCTCCAGATATGTTAAAAAATGCTTGGCATAATTTATGGCCATCTACCATATTTCATGATGAGGACGATAAAGATGATAGCCGCGAATATGAAGGTTTTCAGACGTTGCAGACTAAAGGTGAAATTTTCCAGTTGTTGGGTTTTGTAAAGAAATATGGAGAAGCGGTAATAAATGAAGATGATGTAACAGAAGTTTTTCATTGCGACGACAATGCGCCAATCATCAATCAATTAACGGACAGTGAAATCTGTAGTATGGTTCTAGATCCAGAAAATATCGCTTCCGATAGCGAAGAAAGTGACAGAGAGGTTATTGAAAGCGAAAAAATTTTAATTGACAAATTAGTCGGTATTCTCGACACAGCAATTACAGGACTTGAACAGCGGAACTTTGTAACTGAACAAGAAATTATGTCTGTTTATAGAATTAAAGAGAAAGTATTAGCACATAAAACAAAGCTACTTAAACAACTTACATTAAAAGAAATTTTTAATAAAGTAAACAAATAAATATTAAGCTTTTTTTTTTGTTTTTTTGTTGTTGTTGTAAATTTTGATACCCTTTAGATCATAATTGCTCTTTATTTCATAAATTACGGTTTCATATTTTTAATTTTATAATTTCTGCATGCCATCTTACCAGATTTAAATTGATGATCTATAGTCTGGAAAAACCCCTAATCAGGAATCGCCGAAGTCCCAACGAGTCCGGATTAAAGACTTTGTACTGTACTTATTCTGTAAAAGAAACCCATTTCAAAAGTTGTATTTTATATTGCTTTTATGGAATCATCCAAACTAAACCAATATTTACATTTTTTTACTAAGCAAAAGAAGAACCTTGTGTTTGATAGATTTAATTGAAACACTATCGATTTTGACAATGAATAGGTACAGATACCTCTTCATAAGGAGAAAAATAATTCTGACAAAGAGGGACGTACCTGTTCGCGCTCAAAATCAATAGAGTTTCAGTTAAACTTATGCCTAACACAGGGTTGTTCTTTCGTCTAATTTTAATGGTGTGTTTTTCTTCTTTCTTGGTATATTGAAATGTTTGATTTGTTCTTTGCTTAAAATGCAAAATGTCCACTTTTGTTGTATGCAAAAGTCAATTATATTTTTTAAAAAAGCCTTTTTTTACTTAGAATATAATTGTTTCTAACAAACTCTGAAGTTTAACTTCATTTGTTGTGCAAAATTTATTGAATTATAATTAACAGTAAAATTAGCTGCGCTTGAATAATTTGCAGTAAAACGTCTAATAGTTGTGTATTTTAAATTGTATTGTTATAAAAATTCTTTTATTGGCAAATTAGATTTCCTAGAAGTGTTTTACGTTCATGAAAATCTTTCAGTTCTAGTTAATTATCCCAATACCTTTTTGGTATCTGCTTTTCAGGCATTTCTTCTGTCTAGAAATTTCTTGACCCCCCCCCTGGTATTTTTGCATTGGCACTTGGTTCGCTTTCTTCTTTTTTATTGTAACCAAAGAGGAATGTTATGTTTAACCTTTGAAACTATAGACCTGCAAATTTATCCATATTACACTGATTCTTTTTTTTTAAGACAATTTTTTAAAAATTTATTACCAAAAAAATTATTGCAATACAAAGTCCAAAATCTGGAATCACCAGCAATTTGTTTTTCCCACAAAATTTAAGAATAGGAAATATAATACTCCATAAAAAGCAGGCATGTTGTAAAAGCAGTTTTTTTTTGACTGAAATTCCTGAATGTCACTTTCAACCTCCCACTAGCTAAGGAATCACACCATGACTAGTGACAATACCATTGATTGACATTAACCACAAACACATTTTCAGCCCCTTTCAGTCAAAAAAAAAAAAAAAAAAAACCTGCTTTTATGACATGCCTGCTTTTTATGGAGTATTATATTTCCTGAAGTGTGTTTGTGGCTAAAAACCTTTGAGTGGTTTTGATTGGGGGGGGGTAGCAATTTTCTATCTGGCCTAAACAATAATTCAAGCCCCAAAATATATTTACTTGGAGTAGGATGTTACTCATACTGGCTTTCTTTGGTAGCATTACAGTGGAAAGAATGAAAGAATTAAGATTTGGAGGAAATCAAATTTGGTTTATATGGCAAATTGCACTCTTTCTTAACCAATTTTTATCCAATTTATTATTTTCTCAACATGTTATTATTGCAGCTATCTCATATCTAAAGTTCGAATTTTCAATTATGTCAAAAAGACTTTCTAATTCTGAAGCTGTAGCTAGATCTACAGAGTGAAAGCATGTTTGGTAATTGTCTTCTGTAGCGGCCTTGGCATGAGATAGTAGCGTTGGAGCAATTCCGGCTTAAGAAAGTGCAATTTCAAAATCAGGAAAAGCAGCAACCTTATTTTTGTGTAGTTTTTGAATGTTACAGAAGGCAAAATTTTTCCTTTAATGGAATTCTTGAGGAAATAATGAGAATGATAATAAATGAAAATGATACAACAAAATGTTTCTTTGGGATGACAGTGCCCCAATTAAAAATCTAATTAATGGATGACAAAATCTTTAGTATGATTTTTAAATTTGGAATATATTGCTACTGATAGTGATGGAAGTGACAGATTTTTTTAAAAATAAAAAATTCTGATTGACAGTGTAGTGAGAATTTTTAATATGGCACAAAAATTATATATCTAGCTATAAAATTAAAGAGAATGTATTAGCATCAAAAATCCAGAATTGCTGGTGATTCCAGATCTCAGACTTTGTACTGTATTTTCTAAATATCAATGTAATAAAAAGTAATGCTTTATAAATAAGAATTCTGTTCATTTTGTATCTAATTGTGTAATAATATATAAATGTCTGTGTTATGAAATGTAAATGTATGTATAATGTAAATGTAAATGTATAATGAATATTAAAAAATGATGGAGCTTTATCTTATAGGCATTGTTCTTATGATGACGACACCAGATGATCCTTATCAGTCTCTGCCCAAATTGCGCTACCGAAAGTCAAAGCACCAAAATGTGATGTGTGGACGTTATAAACTTGTTGGTAGTACTGTGATGGCAGTAGTAAAAAGAAGTAAAGTTGAATCCACTGTTCCTCCTTCTTCAAATTATTACAGATTTAGGAGGCAGAAGATACCAAAAGAAACAGACGATCAGACATTTCATCTGGTAAATTTAAAAATCTTTTTGTTTAATTGATTATATAAAGCTTTTCTGTATTGGTAACAATTAATTGACTTCAAAATATTAAAAATACTAAAACTTTAGATTTCTTCATACAATTGTCCTTTGTTTTTCATGGCACTCATGTTAATCTAATTAACCAGAGTGGCATGACCATGACCTCATTCAGCCATGAGTTTTTTTTATCATTTGATATATATTTATTTAAAATATGTTGCTTTCTTATTTGTTTTAATGATCTAAATATTATCTTAATTAATGAAAATTTAAACTGAAAGAATGATTTAATGCAAATGTAGAAATAAAGGCTATTTAAATCTGGTTCCTTATAAGAAGATTCAAAAAGTCACACCACTCAGAGGTTTAAAACTCCTAACATACAATTTTAAAGCTTATGACTAAGCTACTAGTCTTTTAAGCTAGTAAAACTTTTAATCCTGCATGTATGGTCCCATGATTTGAATGGAAGTATGAAGTTGGTCCGCTGTTACCATTCATATGAAAATTTTGGATAAATCCCCCCCTTGATTTCAAATATGAATTCCACTGTTTCTTAGTGCAGGGTAAAATTGTCCTAGTATTCTTTATTTCGACAATAGATGGCTATACAAGATCCATTACACTGTAGAGAATTTGCATAAAAGTTTTGAATTTATTCATCAAAATTTTCCTGTATTCACCTTGTGGAAAGGCATTTTGCCAGCTATACACCACCAGATGAAATAAAAAAGAAACCCAAAAGACAGTGTGCTGTGTGTTACTCCAAGAAAGGAAAAACAGGAAAGAAATATGCAAAGAGACTCGCATTTGGTATGAAGAGTGGCAAGTTAAAAATTATGTTTGGGGCCACGCTTCAGTTTATCACATGCAAAAGAAACTTTGCATAATATGTGAGAAAAAATAACAGTGCTAACTTTATTTGTAAGGTCACTATAAGCAATTTGTAATACAGTCAAAAGTCGTTAATTCGGACACCCATAATCCGGACCTAAAAGCTAAAAACTTTCTGCGCATGCGCCGCGTTGACACATGCGCATAGGCGTTTACGTGTGCGCGTAAGACCTTTTACGGCTGCGCATATGCGTGTGCGCAAGCACAGAATACGTTTTCGCGTGCACATTTTATGTATAACGGCATAAGCTAAAATTATCTAATTATCTATTTCAGTTAATGTTGATGATTGCGTTGTTCCTTAATTTTCGAATTGGATCCGGCTTATTATTTTTTGCAGACTGTAAGAGCAATACTATAAAAGTAAACTTGAACTTTCGATTATGTCAACTAGAATTTCCGATGCTGGAGCTCCCAAAGGATCTACAAAACGAAAGTATGTTTCGATGTCCATCAAACAAAAAGTGGAATTGCTGCAAAAAATGGATAAAGACGTGAAGAAGGTGACAGAGATGTTAGTGAAAACGAAAACATTTCGATTAACAAGTTAGTCGGTATTCTCAGCACAGCAATTACGGTACTTGAACAGCGGAACTTTGTAACTGAACAAGAAATTATGTCTGTTTATAGAATTTAAGAGAAAGTATTATCACATAAAATGAAGCAACTTAAACAACTTACATTGAAAGAAATGTTTAATAATAAAGTAAACAAATAAATATTAAGCTTTTTTTTTTGTAATTTTGATACCCTTTAGAACATAATTGTTCTTTATTTCATAAATTACGGTTTCATATTTTTAATTTTAGAATTTCTGCATGCCATCTTACGAGATTTAAACTGATGATCTATAATCCGGAATCGTCGAATTCCCGACGAGTCCGGATTAACGACTTTTGACTGTATTTACTCATATCTAAATTTTTTTGCTGTTTTAAATATTTATCTTTTTGGCATTATGTAATTTAACATAAAGCAAGACTGATTTTTCTTTTTTACAAATTTTATATTTTTTTTATTGCAATATTTTTGTAAACATTTTTGCAGCAACTTGGTTCAAAATAAAACTCATCTGAAATTAAAAATGTTAGGCACATTTTTCAAATTGCAGATTATGTGCCCCCTGAAATCACAAGCACCATATTACATATAATTTGAACTGCAGAAAGCAATTATAAATCTTGAATTATTTAAAAGCTGTTTTAAGATGTGACTAGTAATATATGTAGATGGAGAAAATATGAAAATCAAGCCAGCCTAAAGGGTTAATATTCTGGAAAATGCAGTTTCAAAGACTACAAACATGTTATATAATAAAGCCGAGTTTTTTTATTTGTTCCATTGTTATTTGATTATTATATACATGTACTGCCAAATGTTTATACAGTATAAAGTCTGAAATCTAGATAACCAATCTAATAAGTAAACAAATATATATAAAAAATTTAAACAGGAAGAAAATTTCTCCTTCCGACTTATAAAGTCTAGAAATGGAGACTATAATACTCAACAAAAGAAGGCAGGTATGTCGTAAATGTAATTTTTCTCCCCACTAACTGAGATTCTCTGCAAGTTTGTCACTTTCAAACACCTGCTGGTTGTGTTGGCACCATAGCCAATGACAGTGAACCAATTGATATATCAATGCTGACCAGGACACCACTTTTGGCTAAGAGTGGTTGTCGGGGCTTAGCACTCCTGAAAAGAACTAATGTCCCAATGTTACTATGTCTACATGTCATTTTATTAACCTCTTCTTTGTTGATGTTGCATTACACACGTTTAGCTCTCCTGTACTCATATGGTCGGCATCGCACGATGAAATCTCATTGTTGAAAGTGAATTCACTATGTCTCATTATATTCCACAATTATGTTTTGTATTTCTGAATATTACTAAGATTTGGTGCTGCTATTCCTATTTTCTTCACATTTTTTTACAGTGAGATTTTCCATCTTGAAAGGAAAACAGAACCATTTTGTATTTTCTGTAACTTTTGCTTTCTTTGGTTATTTCTGCATACCAAAGTAGCTTTTATAAAGGATTCAGAGTGTTGGTCTGAAAGATTAAATTACATAGCCAAGATTTCTCTTTTGATAGAGTAAACAATAAAATAATCTGCAATAAATTATTTTAGTGTAGTTTTTACACTGTGATGGTCAAAAAAGATTGTAGAGCTGTTTTCAAGGTAATGTTGTAAAACACTATTTTCCAAAACACTATTTATGTATTTTTAATAGTTCTTTTTATGTGGTTACTTATCTGAAGTACCTCAAAGCAATAGATCTTATATATATTGTTACAAAATACCCAGCTGCAGTAAGACTGCCTCCCCCCCAAACGGGTTTAGGGTTGCCAGAAAATGACAGAAGATGGTAGGGTTACCATATTTGGCGAGAAATCGCCCATTCGGCAGCAAAATGATGATATGCCATAGATGGACGGAGAACCTTCTAGAACAAATTCTTACCAGTTTGGAACAAAATGTTCTCGAAGGCAGCTTAAAAGCTATATAAACCCTGCTCACACGTGTAGTAGAAGTCAGTGAGTGCCTATCTAGTGAGTTAGTCTAGTGTCGAGGTGTCTCGTCAGTGTATTGCGAGTTAGTGCATCATTGAGGCTATTGAGTGTATCTTAGACTGCATCACGAGTTGTAGCGTGGAGAGTCTTGAGAGTACGTTGAGTTCTGAGAATGACCCACAAAGTAGGGAGCTGTAATCTGATGCTTTGCCATGAAGCTGTCTTCACAGTTGTAGCCTGATAGCCTTAAAGCTGTGATGCTGATTGTTTTGCCGTGTTTGTTATAGTTTTTCGACGACTGTAAACATTTTTTTTTGAGTTGTCCTGAGTAATGCTGATTAATAAATTGCATTTTCATTCTTCATCAAGTGTTGATATTAATCATACCAAATCCACGAACCCAAAAGAACCACAACAATATATATATATATAGAGAGAGAGAGTTTTAGAGAATATTTTTTAAATTTTAAATTTTGGTGTATTGCTGGGAAAACTGGAGATCAGTGAATGGGATATTACATGCTAACCCCAATAGATCAAGCAAAAAAACAACTTTATTGACAAACATTTTTTGCATTTCCGAATTCAGGATAGAACATATGTTAATTGTTCTTTTAAATGAAGTTGTCATAGCTTTTATAATTTTTTCATATTTTGTTATTTTATCCATAAAAAGCATAACAAATTACTACTATACAGTGTTATAACATAACAAATTTACTGAATGTGCTAGGAGTGTGCTTTAATTTGAAGTAAAATGCTCAGTCTAATCAACATTTTCTGTAGATCTGTGTTTTGCACTATAATGTGATCCCATAGAAGGAAGATAGTTATTTCTTTCTTGAAATATGTTACACTTATTTTTTTCATTTGCAGCCAATTCCAATTTGAAAGTGTTTCATCAATTGCTAAATATCAGATCAGTCATTTTATACCACATACTGCTAACTCTTCTCAGATTCTTAAAAATGATACACCAAAATACATTGCTTAATTGATTGCCAGACAATATGGCATAATTTTATTCAACATTTAAAGTATGAACATGCAGAAATCAATTTCTCCTCCTCCATTTTTTTAAAGTTTTTAGTATTTTTTCTTGTGGGTGTGCCATAAGCATTAAAAATACTAGCAGATCTGAAGAATTTATGTTTGTATTGTAACAACAGAGATTTATTGGTCTTTGAACGTTTGCTTTAATATATTTTCACATACATCTGTTTAATAAATACAAAGAATTAATTTTTCTAAATGTTTTCAGGAATTAGAAATCAGAAATTTTAAGAAACATTTCAACTGCCAGCTGACCTGGAATCGTTATTCCATCCATATGGTGTACAAGTTAGTATTATGATTTATTAGTTAATTGTAAGTTAATATTCACATTGATTTCAGAGTTGACCTTCTAATTTGATTTTTGCATTACAAAACAGAAACCGACAGAATTTTGTTATGTAATTTCATTAAAATTAAGAAAATTATATGACATACCACAATCTTTAGAGGAATAAGAAGTTTAGAAAATTAAAAGGCATTTTTCAATATAAAATATTAATTTAATGTCTTCTCCATTTTTTTAATCTATGTGCTATAATTACTTGTGGGGGCAGTCAGGAGAAGCAGCTGTGCCAATACATGTCTTTGCAAATGGTCATAGTTGGCCAGAATGATTAAATTTGCAGGTAAGATATGGCACAGTCCCTTAACAAATATGGGCAAACAGCTGGTCCCAATGCTTAAAATGTTTTAAACTACATTTTAATATTCAGTTTGCTTAACTTGAGTACAATTTACTTTCATCTTGGAAAGAGTGCATCAGATACTAATGTAGTCTTTTTTTCATTTAAGAATACACAGGGTGATTTAGAATTTATGGAACAAACTTCAAGGGGTGTAAGGATGCTACTACAACATTTTTTGTACAGAAATAAATGGGGACGAGTTGCACATGAAGCACAAATACTAGTAATACATAAAATGAAACAAATTTTTTACTTATCACATCATTGACAAGTCATTCCTTACAGCAGCAGTGTTTACAATAACTGCATCCACCAACAGTATTAGTCTATGTTTGGTAATGTCAAAGGAATGATTGGTTGTGCTGTTGCAGATAGAGGGTAGTCAGGGCTGGACCATCATAGTATAGACAAATAAGACAAATGTCTAGGGCCCGGTCTAACCGACCATTTGGAAAAAAAGTGGAAAAATAAAATAAAAAAACTTTAGTTTCACAAATGTTTATCCATATACTCAATATAAATTAAATCTAAATCTACATGAATTTTCCTTTTTTTTAAGATGTGCTGATATAAATAGTCGACTGTACATGAACAAAATTTTGCAGACTAGCTGATGTGTAGATGGGTCGTGACATTCGGTGCATAGAAGTCTAGTAAAAACATTAAACATAGCAAGATTGGAGAGATGGTGTTTGGCTCTAAATATTGAATTTCTGGAAGTGATTGAAGTGCTGAAGTAGCTTTTTATATAATAAATTGTATAAATATTTTATGTAAAATGAATTATCGTCACGCTTCCAATGCCGAAAAAAGAAGGCACAAGAAGAAAATATAGGAAGAAACACAAAAAAAAAAAAAAAAAAAAAAAAAAAAAAAAAAGAAAAAAAAGAAAAGCTCAGTTTAAATATGCTGTTAATACAAAAACATATAATATTGATGCAGAAGTTCAGTCTAAAGCAAAGATTATAGAAAAAGCAGTTGGTGAATATTCTGGAAACCAGGAAGTACACGTGCAGAAATGACACAAAGGAATGAAACCAAAATTGAAGTAATAGAAATGAAAAACATAGAAAGCATAACAGATATTGTGGAGAAAAACCAAAATGCAAGTGATTAAGAAGAAATTAAAAATACAGAATATATACATAACACCGTAAATATTTGAGTTTAAGAAAATCTGGAAATTTCTTTGTGGCCTTTAAATTTAACAACAGACATGGAACATTATTTGCTTAAAAATATACCACCATGAAATATTTCATTTATACATACATACTGCTAAAAATCTAGTAACAGAACGTAGAAAAACTGTAAGTTGGTCATTAAAGAAAAATATTTTTATTTGCAATAAATAAAGTAAATGGTGAAAAAGTTAAACGAGAATAGTTGGTGTACAGTCTAAAAGTAAAGCAATTTACAGCTATGTTTGCAAGATATTTTTGAACCAAACAAACAACTTTTACAGAAGGATACTCAGACTGGAAAAATGCAAATGTAAAAGTGCAAGAACACGAAGATTTTACTAATCATAGACATTCTATTAAAATTTTAATAGCAAGAAATTTGATTGAGGGATGTATAGACACTGTCATTGAAAAATAGTATTTAGAAGAAAAAAAGTACTGGAGAAAACTGCTATGGGTAGTAGCAACAGTAAAGTTTTAGCTAAAAAATCTTTTGCATTTCGTGGCAGTTAATGAGCTCTTTTTTGTTTCCCATAATGGAAATTGCATAGGATCTCTAAAATATTTGGCAGCTTCACATATAAAAAAAATGAGGTCAGCTGAAATGAAAAGCAACATGAGTTATCTTTTGTCAACTATTTGCGATTAATTTATAATTTGTCAAATGTTAAAGCCGCCAAATATTTTTCACTTGACATACCCCTGATATAACACACATAGACCACTTAAATTTTATATTGTGTCATGCTTCCGATGCCAAAAAAAGAAGATAAAAAAATCAGAAGATGGAATCCCAATAGCACACAGGAGAATAATTAAAAAATAAAGTTTTTAGAGAACCTTGAAATGTTTGGTCTGGATATTTGGAACTGTAGAGGATAAAGCTACAACAATGCTACCAAATGTGTCTGGAAAATACAATGGGCTCCAAAACCGCATTTAAAACGTCAAACAGCCCATTACGTTCCTTGTGTTTCACATTCGTTAAAGCTGGTAGTAAGTAGTTGCTAGTGAATCAAATTTCCAAACATATTTCACTTATTGGAGAATGTTTATACATTTTTTTGACGCCTACTCATAGGTCGAAAGCTTAAAAAAAAAAAAAAAGCTTTGCAGCAAATAATAAACTTTTTACAGAAAAATACTATGTACTACTAGGTAAAAGTACATGTAAAGTTGTAAAGTTGATGCAGTTAAAAGATCGTTTTCGGTATTCAAACACAAAAAAACTATGTACGAAACTCAAAGAAAATTAGCTCAGGGTTTGTAGCGGTCCTTACAAGTGCTTATAAGTCCTTATATTTGAAAATAAAATATAAAGGCCCGTATAGGTGCTTACTTTTTCTTTAAAGCCCTTGTTTTTTTGTTTTTAGTGCTTATTTTTTGCTTTTAGTGCTTTTTTTAATGAACGCGCATCCCCCCCGTACCAAAACGAAACTAAATAAACAACTTTTCTTCCTTATATGGAACATCAGATGGTAAATCATACTCCCGAAAATAGCTTTTACCCCTTTCTCTGCATTAACGTAACCTATGGTGTGCGCAAGAGTACAGACAGGTGCATGTTGTTCTATTGGTCAAAGAATTGCGAAAACCGTAGAAAATTCCGGTACATTCGGTATTTTTTTCCTCCCACCCATATACTACACACGTTTTAATTTCTATCAAGATTTTAATAATTTGCATTCTTGTTCCGCGTGGTCAGTTCATATTCGTGTTTATTATGATCGTTATGCTTATATTATGAGCATATGTATGAATATTTAAAATAACATAGTTGCAGTAGCTGCTGAAGTAGATGAACTTCCAAAAATGGTGTATTTTTACACTTAGCTTTCTAAGGAATAATATTCGGAATGCCTTAAATAAAAAGAAAGTAATCAAATAGTCAAAATAATTTCTTTTTTTTCTCTTTTTGCCAATACATTATACAGTATGGTGGTTGGGAGGTTCTCCCCTTTCACCGCAAAATCTCTAATATTGAAGCAGCAGATTTTTTTTTTTTTTTTTTTTTTTTTTGGTCGCTGTCCAATCTGGATTGAATAGGACTAAAAGTTTTGTGGTCTACCCAACCCAAGCGAAGAATGATTCTATTCCGGAAATTTAACGCAGTCTGTTCAAAATTAGAATCAAAAACACCCCAGATTAGTAAGTCTCTTTCTTTTCCTTTATTTAGTTCTTTATTCTCTGAATACCAGCAGCTGTTGAATCCAATTGCGTAATATCACATGAAAAATTAGGGAAGATATTACGCAATAATGCCATGCACGTTATTGTGCAATAACATTTGCGGTATTTTGCAGAGATAATTAATTTTGATGTTCAGTCTGAGATTTATTTATGAACACTTAAAAAGAGTTTTACTGTGCTTGCTAAGCAGAATATTTTCTCAGTTCCGTTGGTTTGTTTTTATATGATGCACATATCGAAATGTCAAAAGCATATATTTAGCCGAAAGAAATCTAAAGAACGGCTACAGTCTATCCTTCCCCTCCGCTCCTCTTTTATCCAGTTACGCTCGACTGTCCGAATATTCGCCAACTTTCCGAGTTATGCGGGTTAGTTGAGCTTTTACTGTTAAAGATGACTGCATGAAGCAAATTCCCTGTCTTGTGATTTCAGAAATGTTCCTTTTTTTTTACTTAAATTACTTTGCTTGGAATAATATGTTAAGGGAAAACTGTTATGCAATGAAATTTAGAAAATGTTCAGAATTTTGATTTAAGGTTAAATTATTTAATATTAATATGAGTGGGAAATGTATTTATTATTAGGTAGGTGCCAAGCGAATACAATTAATATAGCTTATTATTATTTATTTTCTATATTTTGAACTGAAATTTCATCATTAAATCTTGTATATAGTTTAGTTCTGCATAGTTTTTTTTTCTCTCATTGTAAACTAATTCTGTAAATTGAACTGTCATTTAAAATTAAAAAAAAAAAAAAAAAAAATTTTTTTTCTATGGTTGAGGTAATGCTCATTCTCTTAATAAATATTGAATTGCTCATATTTTAAATTGCAAGTCTAATTTTTCTTTTAAGGTTATGCAATTGTGTATAATGTATATAGACAGGTGCTTATTTTTTTTCTTAAAATGTGCTTATTTTTTTAACTAAAATGTGGCTACGAACCCTGTAACTTCTTTATCTGTATTCATACAACATGCATTGGACAGTATTAATTATGAAGAAATAATTGATAAATTTGTAGAATTTAAAGCCAGAAAAAGGATTTTTGAATTAATTTCATAATAATTTCTTCAAAACTATGGTTTTGACATTTATCAGAATAAATTTCGTTTTCTTAATTTATGACATAGAAACAAGAAGTTCCAATTCTATTGTGTTGATACAGAATCAAAGACATGTTTATAATTGCACTAACAATACAAACTGTATTCAAGATTTTTGAAAACTGATTTTTTAAAATTATTATTAAATACTGATTATTTATTATTTTGTTCGAAAGTTCTCATAAAAATTACATAATACCCTGGGTGTAGAGGCCTGGCAGGAAAAAATTTCTAGTGCCCTAAAATAGGTTAATCCTTCCCTGAGGGCAGTTCAGATGTTTTTTGCCTGGTTGAAATACTTGACATTTTAGAAACTATACTTCTGTCAATCATCAGTGCTGCTATGCATATTGGTGGCTGCATTTTTGAGGGAATATTGTAAACATTGTCATAACAAAGCAGTTTTGAATGATGCTGTAACTAAATAATTCATTTCTTTTCACATCTTATTTCTTGTGTGTGTGCCTTTACAAGTAAACTATAAATATAACTATGAACAACTTCACAAGTAAACTATAACAAGATCATATAAACATATGATCCTAAATAATAATAATAAAAAAGTTTGAGTGTGCTTTACCAGCCCTTTGTCCATGAGTTCTAAATAACTCTTTATAATATGCCAATAAGTAAATGATATATTCTTATTAAAAAGACTGCATATTTCTCCGACATGAGAAAAAAATTGAAAATTTTGTTACAGAATATTACACAAGAACAAACAAAAATAAGTAAAGACTATGTTTTCAGAATATTATTCATAAATGTATTGGTGTTTCTTTCCTCCCAAAAATAATTTCTATTATATATTAATGCTTTGTACCAGTGGTTCTCAGCCTTTCGACTAACGTGTACCATCTATACAAAAACTGAAAAAACTTTAGTCCCCCACTATATTTTGTAGTGATTATTTTTCAATTTCTCAAATGAAATATTAAAAATATATTTTGTCATTTGCACAACCTATTGGCTATTTGTATTAAATATTTGTATGTTTATAGTTATGTTCTATTTTTATTAAATATGCACACATAAAAATAGATTAAAAATTGGTTACCTTTTTAATTATCAAAATTTCAGTTATAATATTTTAATTATAAAATTCAGTGAGAAATTTAGTCCTGTTTTAAGAAAGGTCAATCTCTCTGTCTGGTTTTATTTCACTTAGTTTTAACCATAAATTAGGATCCACTTTTAATTTTGTTCTGTATTTATTTTTCAAATATAACATGGAAGAAATATCCTTGTACACACAAATAGGTTGTGCAGAAGGGCAATAAAAATTTAATTGCTTTATTTGAAATGCCTTTAAATTATTTTTTTCGGTTCAGCTAAAAGTTAACAAGTGTACTATTTTTGAAATTTCTTATTAGAGTTTGATCACAAGAAATTTCTATTAATTGTTTTTCTTCGCAACATAAAATTTCAGGTACATTTGAACAAAACTGATTTCTAATACAATTTTCTTTTTCTCAATCCTCGGGAAAATACATGTTGAAATTATTTATCAATGAAAAGTAATGATTTTTAGTGTCCGATGCTAATTCTTCTTTTGTTTTCAAAATATTTTCGGTTAGAAAACATTTTATAGTTAAAAGCTTAAAATATTATTATCTAATTCTTTGATTTATTAGCTTGGGTTTTTTATCATTGCATTTATTTTATCTCTATTGGTAAACAAACTAACACTTTTTCCTTGTAAATTTAATTCATTTAACTTTCCAAAAATATCAGCTAAATCTACTAAACGTGTCAACCATAATTCAGTGAATAAACATTTTTGCTATTCAAATTTTGAATCACAGAGGAAGATTTGAATTTCTGATCAATGTTCAAAAAGACAATTTAAAACCTTAATTCAGAATGTAACAAAAGCATTTCAAACAATGATAAAAAAAAAAAAAAAAAAACGATCTTCAAAAACATATTCTAAAGTCGCATAGAAAAGTAAGGAATTCAAAGAGAAGACAAAATGCCTGCTGTTAGAGACAGCAAATTGACGTAAAAAATAATTCTAATTGAAAATACAGCAATATGAGCCGCAAATGGTGGCAACATAAAGTGTAGACATGGTAATAAATCGATCAGCTCTAAACAAATTAATGCAATGCTATTATCTTTTAATATCAACTTATTTTTATTTCTTATTAAACAGAACATCCATTTCTATTACTCCTTTTAAAAAATTATTTATGACAAATTTTGTTATGTCTACAGCTAAAAGAATACTTGTGAAAATAAAAACAGATTATTTTGTTAAAATCTATGAGTGGCTATTGACTCAAAGTTCAGATCTCATAAATTTTCGAGTGTCCCCCCCCAAAAAAAAAACTTAAGAGAATGGTGGGGTATTTAATTTTTGAAAATACTTTGTTTCTTTGCATACCACCTATTTTTCTCTTGTGTATCAACAGTTGAGAATCACTGCTTTATACTTATACATGGTATATGATACATAGTTTTATATGGATGTAAAATTATATCTTACGCAACAGCATTCTAATACAATATTAAATTTTTAGTTTTCAGAAGCAATGGCAAAAATGAAATAAAAGGAGAGCAGATCAGGATTTTATATGTTTATGAATTGCTGTAAAAAATTTCAAAAATAAAGTTTAAATATGTCTTGTACAAAGCACATTCTTGGTCTCCACATCTCCAAATCTTTATTATTTTATGTTTTTGGCATTTATGATTCTGTTTGAAAATAGAAACTGAAGTTCTATAGATGATTGCAATAATAATTATAGATTATCTGCATACAATGGAAATGTTACTACAGATAGAGATTAACTTTTGTAAATAGTTTGTTAGCAAATCAAATTGAAAGAAACTATTCCTATCTATTTTTATTCAATAAAAATATTTTCATTCTTTGTATTAAATTATTTGTATGAAAATTTCTTTTGATTTTAAATAAGGTTTTATTTAAAGTCAGTGGTATATGTTTCATTAAACATCAGAATTTCCCCCCAGTAAATTCAAACCCTTTGAGATACAAAATGCACTGAAAATTTAATGTTATATATCATACTGAATTTTTCAAATGTATGTTTATGGTAACCATTCTTTTTGTTTTATCTCTAGAAATGGTCAAGAAACAGTTACCGATTTTGATCTTGTTCCATCTAACTTCCCATGCTTTTGGTTTTCACGAGTCAAAAGCTTCACTGCAGAATCTGAGAACCCTTTGAAATGAGTTTAGCCCACAATTCTAGCACAAAAATCCAATTAATATTTTATAAGAATTTTTATCGCTGTTCCAAATATAAAATATGTAAATAGTTTTCTTGTTGAAAATAGAATTTGTTTCAATGTATTGTACGTGTTTGTTTCAATAAATTTTATGCAATTTTGTTGTAAATGTTATTTGCTACATATTCAGTCCCTATTTTGTAGCTAATTTCAAAACTTTTAAAATATTTCCAGATAAAATGTAATTTATATAAAAATTGGAGTGAATTGTACATATTCCACACACCAGAATAAATACAACTGTACCAGAAATGCAGAATGTTTTCAATTTTTTAATTTGAATGAATAGCCGCAAAAGATTTTAGTTGCTTCTTTAGATGATAGGATAGTACTAGTACTCTTTTGGGAGGGGAGGTATTTATTAGTACTCTCTCTCTTTGCTTACCACACAATTTGATTAATAGGGTTACTTCTAATGAATTCAAATCTTTACTAATTATTTTGTTAGACTCATTCATGCTGAAGTATAAATAATTTACAAACAAACATATCAGCAGTTAGAAGTTTTATCATCACTGGTACTAAAAATGTTGTCAATGTTAACTTGATATCCACTGCATACACAAGGTAGTTTTTTTTTTTTTTTTCCTAATTTCTTTAAATTAATGTGCAAAACTGATTACCATAAAAAAATTTAAAAGAATACAAAAAAAAGTTTCAAATGTGTATATAATATATATATATAATTAAAAAATAGGATATGGAAACATAATGTAATAAATCATAAAATTAGTTATATTACAATTCACATATTTTACAAAAATGTACATTTTATATCCCTTTTTTTGCTGGTTTAGGAGATATATTTACTTTAACTGGTTTACACAACTCAATCGTACTGTCTTCAGCTTTAAACCAGCCAGTATTTTTTTGACTGTTTCTTGCACTTGCTTCTGTATCGCTAAAGTCGAGCACTAAGCTCATTTCAACATGGCAGGCTTCTAGAATTGAAAATAATTAAAATTATAAGCTAATGCAAAAAATAAATAAAAGGATGACAGTAAGCTGATTATACACCATGCTCAAAGTCCTTACCCGGTGTTTATTTTTTAAATGGCTGTTTATACAGGGTGTCTATAATTAAACTTGAAATTTGGGAGCAGTCTGTAGCAAAAAACTGAATTGCATGAAAATTAGGTAATGGCAGAATGAAATTATGGGAATTTTATCAAGGAAAAACAAAAGAATGAGTTTCAAAAAAACACCCCTAGGTGGCATATCATAGCTTTATTGAGAACATATAAATAATCTACAAAAGTTTACAACACATGTTCGATATGATGTCCACTATTGTCTGCTACGATCTGGAAGCGTAAAAATTGCATCTTCGACTGTTGAACTGGGGTATGTTATGCACATGGTATTCTATGCTTTCTTTAAGGTCGGATAGAGATGTGATGGGATCACAGTAGACCATCACCTTGAGGTATTCGTATAAAAGTCGCAAGAATTTAAGTCGGAGGATCTAGGAGGCCAAGCTATAGGAAATTGCCAGCTGATGATTCTGTTGCCGCCAAAATGGTCTCAAACAACGGGTGATGTGTGGAAGAGTTCCATCCTGCATAAACAGTGGTTGTATCACATTACCTTGCCTGAAGAGCCAGAATAATGGATTGCTCTATTAATAAAGGGTATCATTGACCAGTGACAGTGCATGTCACAGGCCCAACACTCTTCGGGGGAGGGACCCACTATGAAAGTTGCAATAAAGACACGCTAAACCGTCGCAAGCAAAGAGTGTAATAGAATTTGTAAGAGTTGATGTGGGTTTGTAGCAGTAAAAATCGGCAATTGTGCATGTTAACCGCACCTTCCATATGAAAGTGAGCCTCGTCTGTCCACAAAATGTTCCACGGCTATTATCATGGAGCTCAACTTGAGCAAGAAATTGCAGCGCAAAAGTATGTCGACTATGCAAATCAGCTAGTAAGAGCTGCTGCACTAGCGACAGTTTATAGGGATAGCGTATAGATAGTTTATAGTGTAAGACCTTTTCAAGAAGCTTATGAACCGTGGAACGAGGTTGGTCAACAGATGCTGCAATACGCCGAACACTAATGCTGCTGATGGTTTGCGATGTTTTCCTCCACTTGCATCGCTATATCATCCACTACCTGTGCTGGAACACAGCTTCGTCCTCTTCCTGCCTGAATCCTCAATGTTCCCATTGCTTCAAATTTCTTAATCATGTTTGTTAATCCTTGACTAGTGAGTGGATCTTTTTGTAATGGCAGGATTACTATGGTTATGACATTTGCATATGCCAATAGTAATGGTTTATGAAACTCATTGTTTTTTCCTCTCGATAAAATTCCCATCATTTCATTCTGCCATTACCCAATGTTCATGCAATTCTGCTGCATAGTTTTTGCTACAGGCTGCTCGCAAATTTCAAGTTTAATTATGGGTACCCATACTTCCAATTACAAAAATGTTTTACATGATGCAGAATTAGTGTTTTTGTATTTTTTAAGAAAATTAATTTTGTATAAATACAAAAATCTAACTTTTTATTCATTCTCCCAGTCGCTATACTTATTTAGGAAATTTTTACACTCATTATTAGAAATAAAATGTAAAAACGTTTGATAAACATTGACCAAGGTTTGGTACTAAAGTCATGGATCGTATTTAGGGACTGTACACAAATTGAAAAGAGAAATGTTTGCATGTGTAATTAAAATATCAGTTTACAGAAAGGTTTCTGATGTTGAGAGATGAGCATTTCGACGCAAGTTAATGTAAAAAGTATTCATCAATATATATAATCATATTTTAAATGGAATTGTTATTCACAGAATCTTACAGAAATTGTGTTCTCGACAACACGTAATAATATTACTTGCATTAATAAAAAATGAGAAGTATTTGGAGTTTTTAACAATTTTTTTTTTTGTTCAGTTACCAGTTTATGATCCTAAAGCAATGAAAACTTTATGAGAATATTAGACTTTAAAAACTTATAAATTTCTTATTCTTTCAGCAAGCTAAATGCAATAAAATTAAAGACCCTATGGGAAAAAGTATCACTGAATGAATTTAAGGGGGGGGGGAATCAACATACCAACCGACACCTCACTGCAAATTTAAAATGAGCGAAAAATGACAGATTTTGAAATTAAATATTTTCATCAATTTTTGTCATATGGCAGTCACACTTAGAAACTGGGGGAATGCACAAAAAGCTAGATTTTGTAATTTTTTAAAACTGATTTCTCTAAATTTAAAAAATGCCAAAACATGAATATTTGTGTCATTTAAAGCATTTTTGTAGTTGGAAATATATGTCTACAACCAGTGGTTTTGAAAATAAAGGCTGAGGAAGGACTTTTGTGGACATGATGTTAAGTGAAGTTTAGTTTTTCTTTTATCAAAAACAAAAAAGTATCTGAAAATTTTTGCAAGGTTGAGGAAAAGAAAGAATCATTTCTGTATACGAAAATGATTTATATCTCTCTCCTGTTAATCAATATTACATATAACCTGTTAATCAATATTGTTACCAGCAATGTGCAAAAAACAAGTAATATATAGAATGCCTGGTGGTTTGAGAAAAAGCATGAAGTAGCTAAATTATTTTAATATTATGTATACATTACTCTGTATATACAACTTATGCATTATATAGAATGATGAATGCTATTTAGACAAAGTTTTAAGAGAGAGAGAGTCATAAAAGGATTTTATTGAAAAGACATGATGTTAGTTTTACATTTCAAAATACTTTTTTTTTTGGCAACATTATCTGGCACTTTAGAAAGTTTATCGTAGAATCATCATTTCATGTCAATATGCCATGATTTCTACTCTGGCCTTGCTCTTCTATTTCATATAATACAGTAACAGCTAGAGTTTTCACTGAATAAATTGAAAGCAGTGCATTTTGTCACTTCCAAACACAGTTTTCTATTTGAAGTGAACATCAAAGCCACATAACATTAGAAATATGACTAGCAGGAATATTTTATACTTTGCAAGTTTGTCTTTTAGCACTGCATAGAATGCCTAGGAAATATGTGATGCGTCGTTTCACACACTGCTGGCAACATATATAAAAAATATGTTATCTAATACTTTTATTGGTAGTAAACAGAAGGAATTTTTATTTATAGAAAGCAGAACAAAGATAAGTCATGAATTATCAGAAAAAGCTTAAGACATTACCATATTCACTGTATGTATAGTATGCTTTTTATGTACAAAAATAAGTACATTTTTCTCCCATAATGCAGTATATCAGGGTGGTGTAATGTCGACAAGATTACAGTAATCAAAAACATGGAAAAATAGAGAAACATCATCTGAACAGCATGAAAAGTTATTGCTTTTATGCACAAATTTTATACAGACAGCTTTTTACAGTTATAATTTTAATTCACATTTGCGTATACAAAATTAAAATGACAAAAATTCAACAATGTAAAACTGAATTAATGAAATAGTATTTTTTATAAATATTTAAATATCAATGCATAAAAAGTTGGATTTTAGTAAATTAGTAATTCTGAAAATTCTGATAATATTCAGTTCATCAAAGATGTTAATAAAAATCAATAATATTAAGCATTATATAGTTTTGCACCATTTTACAGAACCAATTACCAAAATCTCAAATGGATCAATAGCATTAAACATGCAGTATCTAACGATATTAATTTGTTTTAACCTTCAAAAAGTGTATGCATTGTTCCCCTTTTCCTTCTCCCTCCCAATAAATTTGCTAGAAATTTTATTCGGAACTTTGTTAGAAAATGACACGATAAAATTAATATCGTATGAAATAATAATCTCAGATCTTTCAATATAATGGACATAATATAAATTTTACATTTCTCATATCAAATTTACCCTATAAAAATTATTATTTTAGCAATTCACTAAAAATTTGTTTCTGGCAATAAGTATAATAAATAAAATGAGAATTCGAAAAATAACATTTTGTGAAACAACTGACTGATTACATAAATACTAATGCACTATTTAAATTTTGTTACAAATAACTTAATCTTGCATTCATAAATTTACTACTTTAATTAAGCTGTGTGGTTACTGTTTAATAATACTTTTCATGTGCTTACTGAACAGCTTTGAATTTCAGTAGCAAAATGAAATTTAAGGGAGGAATTGGAAGTGATTACGGTATTTTACTTTATACTCAAAAATAATATTAAAACTAAGGAATTAAGATACTATTTTTAACCACTTATCAATGTTCCAGGTTTTTTCAGTAAAAATGAATGCACTGTTATTTACTTTTCAAAGTTGAAGAGAGATTGAAGGAATGAAGTGCCATAACCAGAGTCTGGATAATGACTTAAAAATTCACTGAAAATGGAAAATGTCCTTAATCTTTTTTTAATGTTCACCCCAAATAAAAAATCACAATACAATTTACAATATTATATAGATTGAAAATATTAATAATTTTTTTTCAAAAATTCAAGTTTAATCTATTTCTCAAATAATAATCAATATTTTATAGTGTATATACATATATATATCTGTGTGTGCACATGCTGAGAAACACAAAATGTTCAAAGAGCGATATAAAAAGCATTCATTATTCTATTTCAATAATGTATATGTTAGAGAATTAAGAAAAGCACATAGTGAAAAAACGATATGCATGTGTACAAACACTTGTGAGAAGTATTAGGAAGCTTTATTTTAAAAATAAGAAGCTCTTTTAAACTTAATATGTGAAGAGACGTTTTCATTTCCAGCCCCTTGCAAAAAGTGCTTGTTTCAACGATACTTTCGAGGCACAAGAATTGTTCGGTGAAAAGTACAGTAGCCTTTTGTGTGTGTGTGTGTGCACGCATGCATGGCATTCATAATCTAATAGTCCCTTTTTAAAGATGGAAATATCCAAGGTATTCAAGAAATTACTTCCAATGGACTGTAGTAGCTGTGAAAAAAAGAGAGGATTTTACTGAGGTAGAAAAATGTATTGCAGATAGCTGTGAGTGAGTAATTCCAAGATTGTGTCTGTGGAATAGCTTCCCCCCCTCTGCATGTAATCCTTTACAAATGAACATGCAGAAAAAGTCTTAAAAGAGCTAAGAAATCTAGTGCAGGAAAATTCTTAGAAGTGACATTCATACCTTAAATGCATAGGCAGAAAACTGATTATGTAATTTATTAGTGAGATCTATCACAATGGGCTTTACAAGGTATATCTTAATATTACCTTTATTCATACCTTAAATGCTGCATTTAAGGTATGAATAAAGGTAATATTAAGATATACCTTGTAAAGCCCATTGTGATAGATCTCACTAATAGATTACATAATCAGTTTTCTGCCTGCATAATAAAAATGAGTTCATTCATTTTAAAGATAACTTTTTTTTTAGTTTGATTCCTACAATATGCCTCAAAAAGCTCTGAAAGCTCCTCCCCCCCCAAAAAAAATATATATATATATAAAAAGTTTGAAAAGAGGAAAATACTCAGAAAATGCATACATCATCAAAATCTAGGCCTTGGTATAACGTTTGCTTATAATATGCATTATAAATAGTAACAACTATATGCTGCCTTTTCCCCACAACATGAACCTCAACCAAAAACACTTAACAAATAAGCAAAAACTCAGGATTAGCCAAAATGTATTAAAATTGGTACAAATGGGTCAAACAGAAGTTTAATTACGAAAAATCACTCTTACTGAAGTGGTAGCAATACTAGCATTCTTAATCACAACCATATTAACTTCATTTACATCATCAGTGAGCAAAAGACCAATATTGTGCCACTGCTGTGACTATACATCATCAAGGTCAAACGAAATTTGATTTTGAAAGGGTAATGCAAATCTCTGGGACCAAATGAATGCTACTTTTTGCTGGACCAAGCTAATAGCAAAACACTGATACTGCATTGAAACCATAATGGAAAATTATTTCTTTTGAAACTGATGTTAATGTGACAAGTCTTTATCATGAGACACACTGATTATACATTTCAATGCACATGTGGGTCAATTTAAATGTGCTTTGTTTTGGTAATTAAGGAATACATTTCTGAAACAATAAACAGGAGTTATTCAAGATTTAAGTGCATACAGCTCAAGATAATTTTCTAAATAATTTTGCAGATAAAACAACACCTAGGAAAAATATACGATTATATATACACAAGAATTCAAAATTCCATTTGAATACATTTACCAATACCATATTTACATCTTTATATTTTAATGAGATCAAAGTATGTGTATATGCAAAGCAAAAAACCAAAACCAGTTTTTAGTGTATACTATTCAAGATCTGCATATGTACTGTCTGTGTAATGTATATTTTCAGAAATATACATGCATCAAGCCATGCAAAATATCTAATAATAATATTTTGTTAATACATGTCATAGAAAAGAACTAGTGAGCTGCATAAAGCCTGCAGTTGGCAACTACTGCCTTAAAATTGATGATGGCATCCTTACATTTATTTAGTAAAATATACTGATATTCCCCTACACTATTTTGTAGTTTCTGTGCATCCTAAATAGTAGAAATATAGTTCACTGTAACACTTGGCTGTTACTAACCAGGTATGACTTAGAAAAAAAAACTTTACTCCCAGCCAACTACAGGCTTCATATGTTCTCCATTTTATACCCTATCAAATTTATCTAGGATGTAATGAAGCAAAATATATGATTCATTACTCTGGTACTGGCATCTAAGATGAAGTTGCAAAAGAGCAAAGCTTCAATTTCGTCAGCAACATTGCTTTGGTTTGGTTTTGATTATGACAAAGCACTTTAGAGCTGTCTGCTTAAGAGGAGGGATGCTTTTGTGAAGGACTTACTATTTATGTTACAGAGAGTGAAAACCAAGGGAATGCATGTGCAACCAGCCCATTTACGGGATTCGAACCTCGGAACAAACTACCAGTGTTCAGCAACTTTACCGCTCAACTGCTGGCGCATCCAGTGACATTGGCATCAACAGCTTATTGCACAAAACTTCTTATTCAAGCTACAGGACTGGCATATTGTAGAACAATTTCTAATCGTTTGGTTATTAAGTCTTACAGAATATAATACAGCAATTTGTATAAATGCATGTATCTAATCAAATAATTTCTTATATTTATGCCATGAAGAAATAATTTCCTGAGAAAATTCTGAAGCAGAAAATACTGTTCATCTTCATATTTTTTTTATTTCCAGTGACCCATAAGAACAAAAAATAAGACTATGAAATTAATGAAGAATGAAATATTACCTGACCAAATACTGTGAGAAAGAAGAACAGAAGTGTAAAGTCTGTACTGTAAATCATCTTGTTGTCTAAAATCTGCAAGTCTTGGTAAAATAAGTTGTACCTGCTGATCAGGGTATTTAACCTAAATAAATTGAAAGAAAAATAAATATTTATTCACAAAATTATTTTTTTATCCTGGTAGGAGGGCTTTAAATCTCTAAAAATTACTTCAGACACATTCAACATATTTTAAACCAGTTCTCTTATTAAATCTTGAAAGTGTAATAAATACATTTCACAAACATATTACAGATACATACATATTACAGATTATAGGAATTACACATCAGTTTCAAGTGACTGAAATTTTACTTAATTTCATGAACAAAAAGAAAATTAAAGATGAGAAAAGAATACCATGAATTGGGGAGGAAAAAAAAAATTATCAAGAACTATCACTTAACGAGTTTTTCTTTGTACATGTCTTATTTTCAGCTTGTGAATTATCAATTCAAAGAACTAGGAAGTTTTACCGCAGTATCGCCAAAAAGTAATCAATTGAGCTGATCATATACGAAATCTATGAAACACACCTTCTTTTCAATCCCCCCCCAAAAGGACAAAAATGTACATAAAATTTTATTGAAATGTTTATAATAATAAAAGAAAAAGATAGAGGAATCTGAAAGTTTTCAGTTGTTAACATTGCACCACAAGTCTTGTTAAAGTGCTTTATCCTCTCACTAAGCTCACATTTTACCAATCTGTTCTCAGACTCACTTCTGCTAACACAACTTTTTTTGGGGGGCGGGGGGCTTTTTCACTTTTTTATAAAGCATCACTTTCTTTACAATTATACTACATAAAATTCAACAGCGTAATCACAAAAGTAGCATATCTTTAAAATTCCCAACACAGTGTTACATGTTGCTATGTATTTTTTTAGCCCAGAAAGGCTTTGAAAGGCTTTTATTCTCAAACTTCACTTTTGCATCAAATCTCCCCCCCTATTTTACTTTTCAAATAACTAGCCACTAGTGTAGCCAGCCACCTAAAATAGTTACTATGAAAAGAAAAATATATAATGCTTTTAATAAATCTAGCTAATGTAATTAGCTATTAATAATGGGACTAGATAGCAATTAACAATAGAGATAAAGAACTGCAATTAAATATTTTTTGCTCCACCAAATTACAGCAAATTGATGCATAGAAGATAAAAATATTTTATGTTGGGCAGTGGTAACAAATTTCTTTTAAATAAGCTGAGTTCTTGTTAAATTAGCTACCTGGAATAGCTATTACGAAGGGAAAATATACGATGATTTTAGAGTTCAACTAGCAGTTACAAAAATATTTAATATTTATAATCATACATATTATGATTTAAATGCATTTTTGTTTAAAACAATCAGACCGAAAAGTAGGAAAATACTCTTAAGAACTGCATTTTTTGCTTTTAAATTGCTTACTTTATTAACAAATAATGGATTAAATTAAAGTATAACATCCATACTTGCCAACCTATGACACTCAAAAATCAGGAGATTTTTTTAAGAAATCGGGAGATTTTTCATAATGTTAAAAAGACTTTTTAAATGATGAAAATATAGTTTTTGATAATGAATTTAAATAGTAACTAATTCTTAAATGCAAGCAACACAAAAATGCCTTACACATAAAAAACATTTTTATTACTTGCATCGTTAGGAAGAAAAAAAAAAAAAAAAAAAAAACTTTAATCAGTTTTTGTACAAATGTTATAAACAGTGGCAGATTTTGTTTCCTTTAAGAAAGAAATTTCATAATTTTGTTCATAGCAATTGCCACGTAGGCCTGCTTTCGCTAATAAAAGTTTTTCTAATTTGTCATCACTAATATTAGATCTAAATTTAGTCCTCGTTTTCTCAACAACATTCTTAATTCTTAAATGCAAGCAACACAAAAATGCCTTACACATAAAAAACATTTTTATTACTTGCATCGTTAGGAAGAAAAAAAAAAAAAAAACTTTAATCAGTTTTTGTACAAATGTTATAAACAGTGGCAGATTTTGTTTCCTTTAAGAAAGAAATTTCATAATTTTGTTCATAGCAATTGCCACGTAGGCCTGCTTTCGCTAATAAAAGTTTTTCTAATTTGTCATCACTAATATTAGATCTAAATTTAGTCCTCGTTTTCTCAACAACATTGAAAATCCTCTCACATTCTACATTACTATGGGGAACTGTCAGGATGGCCAACATAATTCTAGACAGTTTATTTTTAAAATTCCATCAGCATCTTTCACTTTTCCAATTCTACTGGGTGTCAGTCTACAACTCCACTGGGTGTCAGTCCTAGCTGATTTTATAACTTCATCCAAGTTTTCTAATTGTAAACTGCTGTTATGTAGTTGTTGGAACTGTTTCAATTTTTCCTTCCTTTTAGAACTCCTTTCAAGATAATAATAAAATATCAAAAACGTGTTCATCCACATTTATTGGTAAAGAAGCTGCCCCCTTTTCAGCTGCTAAATTTAAGAGGTGACAGGTGCACCTCATAATCTGCAAATCTGAATTTTCCTTTCTCAAGATGCCTGCAACACCAGTCTTCAAGCCTACCAATACTGGTGCATTATCGGCAACAAGTGCTAAGCAATTATCCAGAGGAACTGCATTTTCTTTTAAAGTTTTAATAATTAGCTGTGCTATATTAAAACCTGTCAAATGTCCTCCTAAAGTGGAGACAGAAAGTAAACTGCACTCAATTTCTAAAGACTCTGGATTGGATACAGTTTTGAATCGGTATTATTGCTTCCATAGAGAGGCAGAACGGAGCTGTTTTAATGCAATCAATAACTGAAGATTTATTTTTCAAATCCAGTTCTTTAACAATTGCACCTGTTTTGATTCTTGAGTATTTCTTAGCGATTTCACTATCGGGAAACATTTTTCTAAATACAACTGCAGCATGATCCGATGCATTCAGTGGCAGGTTGTGCTCCAGTAAAAAGGCAGAGAACAGATATCTGCATTAATAACTTTTTGGTCCTTTGTTCCCGAAGAAAAATTTAATTTTCCGTTTTTTTTTTTCAAAACAACTCCTGTTGTGCTTGTGTTTTTGTGTACGCACATGTTTGAGAACATCCACCCTTCCACCATGCGAAATCGAAAAATCGCAACGACAGGCGGTACACATCGCAAATTTATTACATTTCCTTGAGGAAATAATGGAAGGAAAGTCAACTGTGTACGATTTTTGAAATGTACATGAGTATTTCACCTTTCTCACACACATAACAAAAGATGATAATTACTAAAACTATTTCCCGAAGGCACACGTACTCACACAACTCAGGACAAAATGACCGAAATTAACTATAGAACATCCAAATAACAGCTTGCTTTGTCCTCATTGGCTAATATATGCCAGATGACACGCAGTGGAGCCCGATGCCCATTGGAGAACTGGAGAACGAAGTTTCTGGATACGTATATGCTCTCACTCACAAAGCAGAAGTTATCTAATTCGCAAGGTTTTGTTTTAGATATAATCTAGAGAAAATTCAATTGCTTTCAGACGTCCAAAATCACTTTTTTTTTTTGTTCATATAACAAAGTATTAAGCCAAGTTCCATAAAAATCATGTAAAAATTTTAAGAATAAGAAAAAAGTCGGGAGAAATACATTGTAAATCGGGTTGGCGGGAGAGCGGTCGAAAATCGGGAGTCTCATGCCTAAATCGGGAGAGTTGGCAACTCTGAACATCTTATGCTTTACTGAATGGTAATACACTGGTATGTGGAAGATAAGAGTATTTTATTTCAAGGAATGGCAACAAATTGCTTTTAAATGGCCAAGTTTGTTGATTAAATTGGAAGATAAAATACTTACATTTTGTCAAATGGTAAAAATATGGTACATTGGACATAAAAATGTTTTATTTCAAGTAATGTTGCCACTGTCTGCTCTTAAATCACTGAATTTGTTAATAAAAAATTCATTATATTTGTATAAAATTTGAAATAAATAAAAACAAGTTTGAAATTCAAAATTCTGGTTTCTGCAGAAGTTCAGATAAAGTACTATGGGTGTTTGAAGTTTGTTAGCTCTAGCTACTGTTGAACTTCCATAATACAAGGAATATATGTATATATGTTACCGTGAAAGACCGAAATTGGAGAATGTCAACATTCACCAAATACGTTGGTGAAAGATAGAATATTTCTTTATATTCTTGTACATTCAGACCCTCACCGGTGTATGTCGACAATCACAGATATGCTTTGGTTTAGGTCGAAAAGAGAGGAGTATATGTACACGCTGCCATTCCAAAAGGAAGTGTTCGACAAATAAATGCAGTTGTAAAAGCAAGGGCCTCTTGTGCAATTCAAAGTGTCATAATAGTTTAAGTTGTTGCAATAAATAAGATTTGAATCACATAATTTGGTAAGTTTATAACTTCTATTATTTTCCTTTCTCATTTTGAATGTACTGTGTGTTTTTAAGTTCTTTATATTCTTAAGTTCTTATTCTAAGTCTCAAGTGCGTTTTTTCGTGAATGAATTACGGAGAAGGAAATATAATATTCTTATATGTTCAACATTCACCATTAGTACATGGTGAATGTCGACATTCACCGGTGTAAGTCAGAAATAAGAGTATTTGGAAAATATTTCGGACATACACCAAGCGACTATGTGAATGTTGACATTCACCGGTGAAAGTCGACATTCTCCAGATTTCGGTGTTTCACCGTAACATATACATACATACAGATTCTTTATTATTTAATAATAGTGATTTGAAAAACAAATATTTTACACTTTGTCAAGTAGCAATGCATGAAAAATGATACGGGCAAAAGAAGTGAGGATCAAGACTAACAGCATTATCCTGGTGCTAAAATAGTCTAATAGCATACTAAATTTTATAATGTTAATGCAATTTGATTTTAAAAGTTCTGAACTGAATTTCCAAAACAGAAGTTTAAAGCTACCCTTTCCACCTAAAACAATATTATTCTAGTATTGTTTTGCAAGACTGTAGAGGAAGTTAAAAAAATTCATAATTTTTTGTTTCAAACATTTGGATCACAAAACTACCTCCTAGCAGATGGTGATTCTAAATTCCGTCAGACGTTCCGAATGTTTATAGTAAAATAGCTACAGCAGATGTAGCAAAAAAGTGCATACAGAATCTCTTCGTACTCATAAAATAAGTCCTATCGGGTAATTGAGGATTTAGCAACTAGTTGGGAATCACATTAGATAACAGTATAACACAAGTACAACATTTAACAATGAACAGGAAGCTTACTGCATCTTATAATTTAATAAATATAAGTCAGCTCGATAGTGAAATTTCCTATGAAATATCAAACAGAACAAGGAACGAGTAAATTTTATGTGGCACATTGAAATAATCTATATATTGTCTGTGTGCAGGGGCCATTGACTGAGAGTCTAACACATAATTAAAGATCACATATCAAGCACCAGCAAGATTTATACAAAACTTCTAGATTTTCTATATGCATCTTTTTGCTGTATTTGCAATAATTATTGTGCTATCAATTTTGAAAATGCCATAATGAATAACTCTGCATTATTTTGATACATATCTCAGATTTAAGACTTGCTGCTATAAAAACAATGTTTCTGCTATAAATGCATTGTTACATATCATCTTGATTCTTTTGTTTAATGTATAATATTGTTCAGTATACTGATATACCTTCTTTAAAAGTTCAATATAAAAGAGCATATTATTCATCGTCCTGAAGATTGAATAAAAAAATAAATACTCCCCCCCAAAAAAGTGATTAGAAGTAAATTCTCTAAGAAAATAATGACACAGCAAAAGAAAAAAAAGGGGGGAAAACCTAACAATATTCCAGCAATATGAGTGGAATCATACATTATAAAAATAATTGTATACATCATTTTAAAGAAACTCTGAAGTCAACTCATAACCTAAAAGAAACTTGTTTGCAAATTGTATTTAACTTTGATACATGTTTTATTTACTTATTAAAAGATCTCAGTTATTTAGACAGTAAAATCAAAATACTTTAATAGAAAAGACTTACATGTATTTTAATAAGTGTCATTACGTTTAATTTAAACTTGAAATATTTTAAATAAAACACTCTCATACTCCATAACAGTTTTAATGAATGTAAAAGAATGAGAATCTGTCTCAAGAAGTTTCATAAAGAAGCTATGCAAATAGCCTGGAGCTAAATACTTTTACATATACAAATAAAAATCAAACAATCACATTTTGCATTATTTTGCCAATAATTTGTTTGATAAAATCTTTCTAGAAAAGAATATGATATAACACCTGAGAAAATAAAAATAATTACAATGATGAGATCTATAATTTTACTATTATATGCTGGTATTTTTTTTTTTTATCCTTTAACTATTAAGTTTTTGCTAATTCTTTCCTCAAGTTATTTCATATAATTTGTTATGGAATTTTTATTCTTAAAACAATAAAAATTGAGATATAAAATAATCTTATTTTAAAATTAACAGATGGTTTATTTCAGAACAAGATTAGATTACAGGTATCTCAACTTTTGCTGCTATTAGTGAACCATTAGCTCAGCATTTCAAGTCAAAATGATATGCAAATTAAATATACTGAACTTTACTGACTTACTTTAACTTTTACATTTTTGACATTCTCTACATTTTCTATTTCAGCATCCATTGTTATTCCTAAAACAAGACCAGCAGTGAATTTGTGGATGTTTTCTGAATCAGCAGCAGGCTCATGTATCACAGCACTGGCTTGCCTTACCCGTTCAAGACCTTCAGGACTATCAACATTCAGACGTAAAGAAGGGCATGGACAAGACTGAAGTAAAGGTTGAAGTACTCTAGCTACAGTCCCTGGTTTAGGATCTTCCAGAGAGTCCAAGTCTCGGAAAAGAGCAGATGTGAAGCTGTCTGGATGGAGACCTTGATCTTCTTGAAATCTAAAGTTTAAATCACTCTTTAATATCGCAGAAAGTTACAAAAATAATTAATAATGTAAAATTCTTACAATGTTAAGAATTAACAAACAGTATTTAATATTTTTTTCTCCAAATTTGTAATGAAACTTTTTTTAGGAATTATAGCTGAACCTATTGGCTAACTAATTGTCCTATCATTAGAGTAGTGCCTACAATATATCTTAGGAGGTAACAGATACCACAGTGGCCAAGCATGGGAAAAGGCAACACACAACTGAGCTCTACATGCAAACTGAATCCCTACTCTTGGCTTCAGATTGGTAATCATTCTGTGCTAATTGCCATATCATCTAAGTCAGCACAATGCTTAAATTAACATTGAAAATTTCAGTTTAAAATTACCATCCTTGCTATTTATCACAATCATCTTTTTGAAGTTGCTCATATCAAGATATGAATAAATAAGCTTAATAAGATGGAAATGAATATTATTTCATTTCTAAGCAACAGCAAGTTTCATAAATGAAAAACATTAGTTAAAAGATAATTCAAGCAGAAATGAAAGATAACACTGTAATTCTTCTTTACGTACTCACAAATATCCAATATTAAAAAAGTGATCTTGAAGCAAACTCAACACATTCCAGTCTGCAAATAAACCAGACTAATTTTCAACTAACTGAGAAACTTTGTTGGTAGCAGTATTCATACTTTGCATAAACAAGAATGCAGTACTAGAGCATTCTTAAAAAACCCATCTCAGTCTCTCAAAAATGTCTGTATCGGAAGTTTTCTCAATATCGCTAATGCTCGATAGACAAAATATTTAACAGCCTATATCTCTCATTTATTCATTATTCTAACATCTTTCCGTACAGAATTACAAATATTACAAAATAATGAGCAATTAAACATATAAAAGTACAGTTACAAACCCACAATTAAAATATTATTTACAATACATAATAAATACATTACAACAAAATAATACATGAAGTAAATAACATCCTATATAGTACACAAAGTAGATAAAAACCCATGTATTAGCCATAACTACAAAAATAGCTGAAGAAATTAGCACAAATATTTACATAAATTACAATACATATATGCCACAAAATCAAAAATAGAAAAAAAAAAAAAAAAATATTAAAGTGCATTACTGATTTTATAAGGATATGTATTCTTTAAAGAGCATGATATTAAGAGATATATTATGCAAATAAAACTATTTTTAAATTCCTACTATTAGCTCACACTCTCCCTATATCTTATTCAAATTTTCAATTGTTAATAAAATACTTTTTTTTTTTATCCACTAAATTTCAAACACATTTTTTTTACACTTCCAGTGGATGGCACTTGATGTGAATAGTTTTTCATTAATATAATTATTAAATTATTATTTTTTAAACATATACATATTTAAAGACAAAATAACACGCCGATAAATACTAATTCAGAAGTCAAACAACAAAAATCAGCATTATATTTACAAATATTCACAGGACTAATTTCGATGGTTTTACTAACCACCATCGTCACTGCAAACCGCAATGAACAAGATAGGAATAATGATTAGATAAGATAAAAACCAAAAATACGCAGTGGCGCCATCTGTTGGTGAAACCAAACTAATTAACCACACTGGCAAGGAAGCCGGTGGTCCTTGCCAGTGTGGTTTAATTTACATTGGGCCAAACTAAGAGAGCCTTAAAAAAATTTCGCGTCAAGGAACATGAGGCATATGTTAGAAAAAAGGAAACACAGAAGTCTTCTGTTGCTCAACATTGTTGGTCCGAAAATCACACTTTCAATTTTTCTGCTGCCAAAATTATTCAAAAAACATCTTCCATTGGAGAACTGGATTTTCTAGAGGCATTTCACATTCATAAAAATCTTTCTGTTCTAGTTAACGATCCTAATTCCAATCCAAATTTGCCTTCGGCCTTTAAAGAAATTATGTTTTAGTTCTGGTTTCACCAACAGATGGCGCCACTTGCTTATTCTTGTCCAGGCTTTCTTATCTTATCTAATCATTATTTCCTATCCTGTTCATTTGCGGTTTTGCAGCTGAGGATGGTGGTTCGGTAAAACCATCGAAACTAGTCCTGTGAAAATTTTGTAAATATAACGCTGATTTTTGTTGTTTGACTTCTGAATTAGTATATACATATTTGTTTGTAATATTATTCATTTAAATATATATAATTATATAATAATTTTCTTTGTTGACCTAAGTAGAATTGCTTTAAAATATATATATATATATATATATATATTACTTGTTAAAAGCTGTGTTACAGGGGAAAAAATGCATATTTTTAATTTTATAATTAATATTTTGAGCATACCAATAAATGATATATTGCAAATTTATTGCAATAATTATACTTCTATTACAAATATATACTGTGAAAAATATCAATAAGAATACATTTTACTGTACGTTCAGAAGGGATAACTATTAATTTATGCATTACATGTAATACCATCTCATGGTAAACATGATGATTAAATTAATAGCTATTATATGTGTGCAAAACAGATTTTCTATTTTAAAGATAACAGACAATTCAAATCCTTATAGCTCTAAATCATACCATACCTCTGCAAAGAATCAACTTGCTCCAAAAATGCTTCACAGGGTCCTAAAGCAGAAGTATTACTCCCTCTTATTAGGACCATTAACTGCAGTGAAAGAGCTCGAAGTCTCAGTTGTCTTAAGCAAATTATTTCTTCACTGTTTAAGCCCAGAAACTGGTGACTAAGGCAAAAGGATAACTGCAAAAGCTTAAAAGATATTAATTTATAAGTTTATTTTTATTCATTACTTGGTATGTAAAGTGAATTAGATAATTAATTAGGATGTGAATTAAATAAATTTAATAATAAAATAAGTAAAACATACACCTACAAAAATAACAAAATATTTATTTAATCAATCATAAAGCATCTGCTTAGTGTAGCTAATTATTATTAATACTGTTTGTTAAATAACTAACCTGTTCTAGGGATGATTTCAAAGAACTACTCTGTAATGGTGATAGCAAAGATGGATTTAACCAATTCTTATTAGAAATTATCTGAAAAAAGAACATTATTGATTTAAATACTACACAAGAAAGGGAAAATGTACTATCCTTCAATTTAAGGATGATTTTTATGCCTTTTTTTAAAAAGATTATTTATAAAATTAGAACAGTTTTTGCAAATATTACAAAGAATTTGAAAAGTTAACAAATATGCCATACAAGCAATCAACTAATTTGATAAACATCTAGTAAATAAAGCTTCTGCACTAACAGGTAACCTTATTTAGTAGATGCTTGTCAAAATCAAATAAAGGGGTAGGGATTGGAATCTTTAGGACATCTTGCACATGCTAAACCCATTAAACATACAATGATAATTACACTCACGTTTGTGAAAATTGCAACACCAAGAAGGAATCGTCATAATTGAATGCAATTTAATACACAGTTGAGTGGTAGTGGTACAAATAAATGATTAAATGTTCAAAGCAAACAAACAAGAACAAGAGATCAGAATCAGTATTTTGTGTGGCCACCATGCGCCGCAATAAGTGCTGCTACACGACGTGGCATGGAGTCAAACAAAGTTTGAATGTCTGACTGAGGAAGAGCATTCCATATCGTTTGTACGCGTACCCAAAGTTCGTCTGCAGACGCAACAGGATGAGGATCACGAGCAAGACGCCGACCAATGACATCCCACACATGTTCAATTGGCGACATATCCGGGGAACACGCAGGCCAAGGAAGAAGCTGTACCTGCTGCGCTGCAAAGAAGGATTTAACAATCCGAGCAGTATGAGGGCGGGCATTGTCCTGTTGAAATACAGCGCCTGGCAAGCTTTGAAGGAAGGGAACAGCTTCGGGCTGTAGAACTTCACGGATATACCGGTTGCTGTTCAGATTGCCCACAATTCGTAGCAATTGAGATCGTCTATGATATGCTATGGCGCCCCAGACCATAACTCCGGGTGTTAGTCCACTGTGGCGTTCACCGGCATAGCGTCTGACACGAATGCGGCCATCATGGTACCACAAATTAAAGCGGGATTCGTCAGAAAACACGACAGGCTGCCAATCAGCACGCCAGTCTCTATGCTGATTGGCCCATTGTAGCCGCAGGCGGCGATGGTCGTGCGTTAGGGGGATCCTGTATAAAGGAGTCCGTGCGCCGCAGTCCCACACTGCAGCAGACGTCTACGAATTGATGAAGCACACAATGAAACACCTGTAGCTATTGACCACAGTGCTGCCAATTGTCTAGAGGAAGCTGTACGGTCCGTCCGCGCCATGCGGACCAGGTGTCTATCATCGCGAGCTGACGTCACATTTCGGGGTCCACTCCTGGATTTCCGAGTTGTCCGACACTCGTCCGTCCACTGCTTCCAAATGCGCATCACTGTGCTGCTGTTACGCTGCACACGAGAGGCTACTGCACGATACGACAATCCAGCTTCACGAAGGCCGATGATTCTCCGTCCAAACTCTGTAAGTTGTTCAAATCTCGCTCTCTTTCGTCGACGAGGCATAAGTACAGATTGAGTTAACGTTTACCACTAGCAGATAAACCACCGATAACCATACACGCCTCGCTACAGCCGTCTATTTATTCGGATCCATCAGCCGTTCAGAGGGCGCTGCTCAGCATACGCATGCGCTACGGATTTGCAATTCTAATCATTTGCATATCGTGCGCTACTTTGCATTTCCTGAAAATTTCAGCTCACTCGCGTAAGTCCTTCATGGTGTTGCAATTTTCACAAACGTGAGTGTATTTACTAAATTTAGCAGTTTAATTAAAAACAAACTATCATAACATATAATTCACATCTATATAATTATGATACTTTTCTAAAGCTCCTTTATTATGCATTAAACATAATGTTAGTTATCCTACATAACAAAACAAAACAAAAAAACCTCAGTGATTTCAATTAAAGTTTCCTTTTAACCAAACACATCACAGCTCAATTTATAAGACCTCAAATTTGGAAGCCAAAGGTTCAAAACCGATCCCTGACATGTCGCCTAAATATTTTTTTGTTTAAATTTCCTTTCTGTTAATTTATATCCTTAATGTTCCCTTTACTGGGGAATGTTCTCCATTTTCTCCAAGTCTAGAATGCCCCCAGCTTGTTCATCAAGTGTATATAAGTGGTTACTTATTCAGTGCGAACAATAAAGTCTCGAATTGAGACTTGCCTCTTCAGTTGCCTTAATACAATCATTTCATGTACATCAAAGTTTGATGGAGGCGTAGGTAAATCACTTACTATGGAAGAGCTATGTCGAAGCTTACATATTTGAGGACTTCCCCAAGTTTGGTCTCTCATAGGATTCTAGTAGAAGATTGAGGAAGAAGGTTGATGGGAAGGAAACCCAGCAGGAGCTAGTTCTGCTCGGAATAACATTGTACGAGTATTGATTCTGACTTACCTAATACTTCTGTATATTCACCCGAGACAACCAACAAGATACCAACATGTGAACATATAAACAGGCTTAAGGACTTATCAAGGACCAAAGCGCCACCTATAACTATTAGGATGATCAAATGTATCTGGTGAATGTCATCTTACATCTCTTTGGAACTGCTCAACTGTCATTTGATAATGATGAAGATACTTTCAGTAATTGGACTGCTTTAAGAAATGCTCTGAAAAATATATTTTGTTGTGCAGCATATATGAAGTGCCACGCTGAAAGACTACTAAACACACATGTGCAGCCAAAATTGGATGCCAATAACACGAGTTGAAAGGGAAAGTGATAATGAAGAAGATAAAGAGAGCACCTTGACTTAAGAAGAATTAGAAGAATTACAAGAAATTAAACACATATTACTTATTACAAGAAATTAAACACATTGTTTAAAAAAAAATTAAAATGCACATGTAATGTCTGATTTTGCAATGGAAATTGGCCCAAATAGGATTAGAAAGAAAAGAAAAGAAAAGGGGGGGAAGAGAACACTTCTCAAGAGGCACTGAAAGACTCTGTGCTCCTTAATGCAAACTTTTCAAGAGTTAATGTCAGTCATTGTTCCAAGTAAAAATACCAAATTTGGCAGCCTAATACCATATTTTTTTAACAATAGTTGTAGAACATACTTAATTAAGCAGTAATAAAAATTCTTTCAATCAACATTTGTTCCATTTTTTTTTCCATTTAATTACAAAAATATTTAGGTTTCTTTAAATTATATGTATGCTTTTTTAACCTAAATTATACCTAACAAAATTTTTTCATGGAAAATTTACCAGGTAACCAAGAAAGTTTGTACGGTTTTTGTCACTCATCAAAAAGGCCCACAAAGATCTTAAAATGGCCATTTTATTCTTAGAAATAATCACTATTGGCTTTAATTACATGTTCACAACAAGACATAAGCTTATAAATGTGCTTTCTGAAAAAATCCTTTCTTCTGAAGTACAAAAACTACGACACAGCCTTTGTGACAACGTCATGTTTTCAGAACTCATGTTCTCTCAGGTGGTTATCCATGGCCAAAATCACAAAATAGTTCGATTTAGCAGTGCCCAGGAAATAGAGTTGACTAAGAACTTCCCAGCCCAGTGTTCTGATCAACTTTTCATTCATGTTTGAATACAAGATCTGGTATTATCATGGAGTTCTTCTGTTGACCAGTGCTGGCTGCATCTGGTACAGTCAAAAGTCTTTAATCCGGACTCATCAGGACTTCGGCGATTCCGGATTATTGATTTTTCCGGATTATAGATCATCAGTTTAAATCTGGTAAGATGGCATGCAGAAATTATAAAATTAAAAATATGAAACCGTAATTTATGAAATAAAGAGCAATTATGATCTAAAGGGTATCAAAATTTACAAAAAAAAAAAGCTTAATATTTATTTGTTTCCTTTATTAAACATTTCTTTCAACGTGCGCATGCGTAAATCACGAGTACATTCGCGCGCATGAACTCGTGATATTTATAATGACGAGGAATTTAATTTAAATCATATCAAAGATGGAATACATCGAGATGAAATACTACATTTAGTAAGGAATTATAAGCTGAATAAAATAAAAACATCTGCCCTGAAGATAAGAATAGTGCTGACAGATCAACTTCCAGTTCATTGCGCGCCGCGACGCCCCCCCCCACCGCAGAGCAGCGTGAAATTGATAAACAGATTTTGGAATGTTTAGAGAAACAAAGGATATGCCTTTATCCATTTTCCCCAGCAATTCTACTTTTTGTTTGATGGACATCGAAACAGACTTTTGCTTTGTAGATCCTTTGGCAGCTCCAGCATTGGAAATTCTATTTGACATAATCGAAAGTTCAAGCTTACTTTTATAAAATTGCTCTAACAGTCTGCAAAAAATAATAAGTCGGATCCAATTCAAAGATTAAGGAACAATGCAATCTGCAACATTAACTGAAATAGATAATTAGATAATTTTAGCTTAGCTTATACCGTCCATTATACATTAAACATGCATGCATAAATGTATTATGTGCATGCGTAAAAGTATTATGCGCATGCGTGAACGCATTATGCATTGACGCATGCGCAGAAAGTTTGTAGTTTTGAGGTCCGGATTATAGATCATTCCAGATTAACGACTTTTGACTGTATAATGCAACTAAAACTCTTTGCAATTGTGATGAGTAGCCCTCAGCTATTATAGTTTTTCCACTTTCTAGATATTCATAGTGGACAATGCCAACGCTTCTCCACCAAACATACAACATTAACTTCTTTTGGTGAATGTCCAATTTAATGGCCAATCAGACCAACCCACAGGTCGATAAATGATGCTTTTTCTTCCGGTTATCACACATGATTCATTTTTGGTCTATATAAAGACTTAGTCCTGATGTAAGGCTTAATTATGACATGACAGCAACAACAAGCAGATGTTCAACAGTTGTAGATTGTTTTTCTTGGAACCCACCTGCTTAGTTTCTATGCCATCCCAAGGTTATGAAGATGTGATCAAATGGTTTTGTTAGGTACTCAAAGCCTGTAAGCAAGCTTCTGGCAGGTTTGATGAGGATTCTGCTTTATTTTTTCCTCCAGCTGAACAGTCGTCTGACAGCTGAGCTGTCGAGGGTGGATGGACGACCAACACGAGGCTCGCCTTCAAGGCGGTCATCTCCGGAAGAAACTCGGCTGAACCATTTTTGAGCAATCCATTCCGTTACTGACATCTCTCCAAACGCAGAGCATATTCTTCTGGCAGGCTCTGCAGCTTTGTTTCCCAGTTTGTATTCTTAATGAAAAAACAAGCCTCAAAATCTCCTTTTCCAATGCCACATTTTTTTTAAGACTGCTCATCCTAAAAAACCAACAGCAAAAACTATGTGATGCACTAAACAACTCTCTACTATGTAAGGTTTGAAAGGAGTGTAAACATATGATGTCGTCAGAGTTAATCTGACTACACTAAAGTATAAATTGTAACTGTTCTCAAAAACTGTGCAGACTTTCTTGGTTACCTGATAACTTTGCAGAATGCAATTTTGCTGTACATACAATGTAACATCCACATTCAGCATGGGAACAACTTTGGAACAAGTCTTTATGATGACAAAGTGAAGTTTGTGTTACTGTTGGTGGCTTACATATCAAGTACTTTAATCTTTCTATATGGTTTTTGTAATCTATTCTGGAATTAAATTATTGTACGATGGATCCAAATTTTCTTAACCTGTCATAGTGCCAATGCTGAATCCCTCAGAAACCATACTTAGTTTTTTTTACGACTAAGATCCTGTTGCCCTTTATCTGTTATTTAATTTCTTTGCTGAGCTCCGAGTGTTTACCTTTAGTGCAGAAAATAGGAAGCTATTCTTTACATAGTTTTGCCATGGTCTTGAACATCTCACAACTTATATATTGTACATTTCTTACCTTCCATATTAAGCAAGCCTTGGCAGAGACATACATTCATAAGACATTTTTTGCTTAGTTTTGGCAGCATAATATACATCTGCCATTTCATAACTTTATTCTGGGGCACACTATATACTCATGCTATAAACTCAGAAGGCTTCTTTCTATTCGCAGCATTATGTAAGAAAAGAACAAACTTCTTCTGAATTCAGCGAACCTATCAAAAGCTTATTCTTTAATATAATAAAAGTTATTTTCTAGCTTAGTGCAATTTACCTGAAAGCTACCACAATATGTGGCACACCAATTAAACATACGCGCAAAACATCTACGTTATACAACATTGCTTTTTTTTTTTTTTTAAAAAATCCTTTTAACAGCAAGAAAGACAAAGGTACTATAATGTAGAGGAACATGCAGATAAATATCATCAGCATAAGCATTCTCCATATACAAATTAAAGCACATAGCTGACAATTCAGCTATATTCAGAAATCAGATTTAAGATTTTAATTATTTCATGTTTAAAAAATAAAATTAAATGTACACACACATATATGTCATAATAAGAGCAAAGGAAAAGGAAAAGACAGAACACTGTAGATGCGTGATTAGATCCATATTGAAGAAGAATTTTGATTGCGTAGTATTTAAAGAACTTGGCAGTCGAGGCAGTTTTAATTCCATTTTTATTTCCAGTTGATATTTGTGGCCACAATCACTTGGCACTCTAGTCGTGCCTTTCCACAGAAGATTTACATTTTTGATATTGTTGAGATAGAAAGCAAGCCAGGGAAATTACATCTTAGCACAGCACGAGCAAAAGCTGAAGTGCGTAGTTACGAAAGATGGAAGCACGCGAAGAGAAAAGTTTTGGTTTACAGTGGCAGTTTCAGTTCTTAATGATTACGTCATCAGAGCTGCGCCGATCATAGAGTGATCTAGAAATGACGCAATGCAAATCTATCTAGAAATCTAGATCTAGAAATGACGCAATTATTACGATTTTAGAATAGAGAGGAAGAATTAATGTTTATAGTTTAATCTATAATTTTGATTCATATATTTTTATCTTACATATTCCCCCCTTCAAAAAGAAAAAGGCGTAGCGACAGAGAAGCCTTTTTAAAGAAAAGAGTTAAAGCACTAGCAAATTAAAAAAATATAAATAAATAATAAAATTTTGATCCTGTAAAGTATTATTTATAAATATCAATTTTTTTTAAATAGATTTCTTAATTTTTAAGTCCTATTGAATTTTTCAACATTTCAGTCCAAAAGTCATTTTGTTTGAGAGTTCACATAATCATAATTCATCAGGGAAGGTTCTTGTTATTACAGAATATCACAAAAACTTTTACATAATCATTTCTTATAATTAAATGTAATGCACATAAATATTTATGATACTTATTTCGATACTGATAAATTATAATTTAACATCATAAATAATAGGATTAAGATTTTCAGAATTTATGGTTTTACCGTTATCATCTTTCATTTACAATTCCTGATTTTACCGAACTGGAAGCCTCACAAAACTTCTAAACAAACATATCCATCAATAGGGCTGTCCTCTTGAGCTAACCAGTGTGTTCTCTGCACTGGTGGCCCAGGGTGCCTAGACAGTTACTTGAAAAGGCCTCCGTTCCTTGCATTAAGGTAACTGGCCTTTGAGAACTGCACTAATACATTCCATAATAAAAAAATATAATAATAATAATAATATAAAAATTTACATGCATTCATAAAATGAGAGCCTCCAACATTATCTTGCATGAAGAGGGTAAAAGGAACAACTGTACAGAGGTAATAACAGGCCTCTGTTGAAGGAACCAATACTCCCTCGACATACACTATACTTAACACACAATAACCCACAAATTTTAACATGCATTTACCATAATTTCCATATTACGTATCTGTAATAATTTCACTATTTTTTTACACCTACTTCATTTTTAGAATAATTATAAAATTCATATTCAAAAATTATCAACAAAATTTCAAAAACATAAAACTTATCTTAATATCCTTCCCTATGAATAATTTAAATAGCTTAAAAAAATTTCTTACTTTGCTCACACATAATTATGAAAAATTAGAAAAATTAATGAACAAGAATTTCAGATTTTCTCAAAACAAATTGCAGAAATTTTAACCAAAGTTGAAATGAAAACTATAGAATCCGCAGCACATTCAATAATTTAGTTCCTGAGCTAGATTCACACGAATGGAATAATTTTTGAGCTGTTGAAAAAGCGGAAGTGCAAATAATTTTCTGTCGCACATACTTGCAAACACAAACTCAGTTCGACCTTGAACCCGCTGTAATGCTTCATTCCTAAACGGTAATTCACTGATGATTTCCTTTTCACTAGACATTCCAACTTCTCAATTTATCGAGATATTACTTTCAATATGTAAACACTACGCATGATTTTTTTTTTGAAGCACTTGCAAAACACCACAGCAGAAGAATGATCTGTTATTATTTAAACACTGAAAAATCAAACTTGATGATTCACTTCTTTCACATTATCTTGGATTTATCACAAAACGATGATTTGAAGAGCTGAATTAAATTTCCATTGAGGTTTCAGGCTGCAGGAAACTATCCTTACCGGCTTAATTGTAATATTAAAAGCACAGGAAAAACGGACGGAACACTGTCGATGCGTGCTTAGATCCATATTGAAGAAGAATTTTGATTGCGTAGTATTTAAAGAACTTGGCAGTCGAGGGAGTTTTAATTCCATTTTTATTTCCAGTTGATATTTGTGGCCACAATCACTTGGCACTCTAGTCGTGCCTTTCCACAGAAGATTTACATTTTTGATATTGTTGAGATAGAAAGCAAGCCAGGGAAATTACATCTTAGCACAGCACAGAGCAAAAGCTGAAGTGCGTAGTTACGAAAGATGGAAGCACGCGAAGAGAAAAGTTTTGGTTTACGTGGCAGTTTCAGTTCTTAATGATTACGTCATCAGAGCTGCGCCGATCATAGAGTGATCTAGAAATGACGCAATGCAAAGAAGTTATTACAATTTTAGAATAGAGAGGAAGAATTAATGTTTATAGTTTAATCTATAATTTTGATTCATATATTTTTATCTTACATATATATAGGATTTTGTGAAAGAAAGATTCAATTTATTTCAATGTTCCTCCTCCTGATGAAGTAGCATTGCAGTTGATTGAATTCCTCTTTTATTATGTTGATTTTTCTTTAAATTTCATTGATTTTTTTTTAATTAGGGTATAGCTGGTTTGAAGAAGTTTTGGTTTTAATACTTATTAAATTCTTTTTTTTTTTTTTTTTTTTTTTTTTTTTTTTTTTTTTTTGCATTTATAGGATTATTTTAAATTTATTACTTATAAATTTTTGGTCTTTGTGAAAAATTGGTTTTAAATTTCTTACTTTATGTCTTTACTGATTATATATATGTAAATGTATATACCTTTGCTAAGAGAAGCTGACACTGTATATACAAAGCAGCACAATTAGCAGCAGCTGATAGTTTAGGTTCGATGGCAGATAACTGCTTTAGATCTCTATAAAGAAAAAAAGAAATCAAAATGTTTATGAAATATTACTATCTACAAGAATTATATAAGTTTTAGTTAAAAATATTTCAAAATGAATATAACAAACAGTTTTTCAACATTGTGAGTAATGAAAAATAAAAGACCTTAAAATTTATGAAGCCTAGTATAACTCTTTAATACTCACAGCAATGGCTTATTTTAAGAAACAAACATTTTAAAAAACATAACATTGTACTAAAAAGTAGTATAAAAACACACTGTTCAGATTTCAGATAAAGAATGAACTAGGGTTGGATTTTTAAGTCAGTTTAATTTACTTGTAATGATAAACTGCAATGAAATGGAAATTTGTTTTCTGTCTAGAAATATAAAAATTCAAAATATGTTTATGAGAAAAGAGAAATAAATTCTACACTAGAATTTAAATATAATTTATTCCTCATTAAAGGCTGCACTTTTTACTACTAAGATTTTATTTCTTAATGTTAATAGCTTTCTGAACTTCACTCAAATAAAAACTGGATACATGTAGGCATAAATGGCCTAAATTTAACCATTGGTTGTACAAGTATATTTCTGCCACAGTAACTGTGTAGCTATGCCTCAGTTTTGAGGAAGAACACCCCAGGAAAATGGTCCACGCTTCTTTCCCTACCGCCAACTTCTCAATAAGACTTTTGATTCAACATGTATTTTCAGTGCCCCCTTGCTGCACAGACACTATATGCTTATAAAAATCTATTCCTTCTCTGGATCCATTAGTACAGCACTCACCATCATTAACCACTATACTGGCTGGGCTGCTAATCAACATACAAAAAAACTTAGATTAAATATGTATATTTTAATATCAAAACTACCAATACATCATATTAGTAGTTTTCCAAACTGGCAAACTAGGTGCATTATAAGTTCTAGGGTTTGTTTTGGATTCCATATATAAAAGAGCATTTACATCCTGTTATTAACAATGCATCTTATTATTAACAATATGTATTTTTACAGTTATATATTGAATGAAAAGTGACACTATTGATACCCCCCTTCATAAATCCAAACATTAATATAATTACTTAAATTCAAGTTAGTTTGTATATTATTTCTATTTCTAGTTTGTATATTATTTCTATTATTTCACACATTTCCCACCTTTCCAATGGCTGGGCACTTATCCCTGCATTTTCTAAGAAATGGCTAAACTCACTTAACAATCAATACGATAGTGCACAACCTGTACCATGAGAAGGGAATAGATGATGCAAATAACCGAGTCTTATATGGAAATCAAACATTTAGTTGTCAGACTCTTTCAGTCACCGCCATGCTATCTGGGGCAGCAGATATATCTTAACAAATAGTATTATAATTATCACCTAACTGTACTAATATATTGCATGCAAAAAATAATGAGCTCAAAAATAAATAAATAAATAAATAAATAAATAAAATAAACATCACTATACATACCACACATCACTTTTATCATTATATTTTATCATTCAAACTATGAACGTTTAAGCTATTTTTTTATTCTTCTCCCCCAGCAACAACTTAACAGTATTTTTATGTGACTGCGCATAATATCATAAGCAAGTGGGCATTGAAAGACGTTATTCTGTAAATTCTTTGGGGCTTCGAAAACACATAAACACATTAAAGCATAGAAAAACACACACTGTAATCTGTTTTAGTATCAGAGTATACTGCCAATAATTGTAATAAACTTTTTATCAAAAGAATCATGCGAGTAAAGCCTGCCACAGTTCTGACTACAAGCTGAAGTGAGATTATGTTTACATTTAAAAATAGTAAACAATTTATTGAATAATATTAAAATTTTCTGATATAAAATTATTTCATTACGGATTATTTGAATGCAGCATTACATTAAACACATTAAGACACTCAGCTGCTAAATTTCAATAAAATCATATTTGCCTTACAGAATGTCTAACATATGCAAAAATTAAATTAAGGAAAACAAGAGGGCAATATAACTAACAAAAAGGTAAATATTAATAATGATTTCAGGGCAATTAGCCATGGGCCCTTTAGCTGCGAGAAAAAGGGGGGACTTGCCAAAATACACTGATGAGATACTATATAAATTTCACAAGATTTTTTTTTCTTTCATTCTTCAGAACGAAGTATCAAAGAAAAAAAAAAATTAGCAAAAATTTCTGGTAGAGAAGTAATGCCGTCATTTTTCTATGTATTCTTTTTTTACTATATTCCAGGTTCCAATGGTTTTTATAAACAAATCGTAATATTTTTTGCCAACAATGAAAGGAAACGAGTCAAAATTTTTGCAGGAGTACAGAATTTCCCTGAAAACTTTTAAAGGAAAAAATAGGGAAATGTGTTTCCTAGATAGCCACCAATTGCCAAGGTTTGCATAAAGGCAAGTCTCCATAATTATCTGATTTTTTTTTAATTAAAATAATTTGTTGAGTACAGATGGAAAAGAATAGTAAAAAAAAAAAAAAAAAAAAAATTACAGAAAGATTTGAAGAAGAATATAAGTGTTTTATTTTTTTCACATACCATGAAATCTTTGTTTAATAATTAAAATTAGTATTTTAAATTGCTAAAGTATGCTTTCTTTTTATATACTGACAATGTTTAACAACTTACGATAAATATCGAAAGTTTGGGAATCGGCATGCAAACCACCAACTAGCACCTGATAAGTAATTTTTACCTTTTCATATGTAAAAATTGGCAAATTTCGCCACGGTGGTTGAGTTAATAAGTACCAACTTTCTTAAAGGGGGGGCTCAAAGCTGTTAAAGAGTTTTGTTCAAAATCTATGTCAATCTAAAGCTATTTTCTTGTCCAGTTTTTAGTTTTACAAAGTCAAGTTTCTTTTCAAATTAGAAAAGGAAAACATTTTAGCTCATCCAGCACTAATATTGAAAGATATAAATACTTATCTGTAGAACAATACTGTAGAAAAAAATTTAGACCGCGCACACAATATTACAATTAATTGGAACATAATTTTGTCTTCAACATATTTTAAAGCAAATGTTAATCTCATATAGACTGCCTGAGGTATATTAAACATGAATACTAATTGAAATGTGTGTGTCTGCAATCACAAAGCAATAATAGCAAGCTACTAGCCAAACAACAAATAATAATGGCAATTTTTGTAGTTTTAACACTGTGTCATTAAAACTGAAAAATTTCCCAACTCTAATTACAATCAATTAAAAAATTAATTAATCATTGCAAATTAATCATTATGAAATTTAAATAATTGATATTTTTACAACTTTTTCAAAAATACTCAAATATTCATAAAATTAAAAAAATTAGGCATATTGAATTTTCTTATACATACTGAATAGATGTTTCTAGGATACTCTGCCTAGCTTTTGGGTTACGATGTTCTGCTGCAGCAACTCTTTCCAAAACTTGGTTCAGAAATTTTCTGGAATGCTCATCAGATTGTTCTAATTCAACAGGAGCAGCAGATAAATTCCTAAGCTACAGAAAAATTAAGCATCAATAGATGTACTCTAAACTTTAAAAATATGTATTTTTGATAGTAAATAGAAAAAATGAAGCAAAATACAATAAATGCTAACAAAATTTAAACATACAAATGTACATTAAAAACATAATTTAAAAAAAATAAAACACATATAAACTTTTAATCTTTCAGAACATGTTCAACAAAAATATTTAAAAAGAAATTTTTTATGCAAACCTTTAATTGTGGAACCAGATGAGGCAAGGTATCTTTCAAATATGAATAATGTTTCTGGGTATATTCGTCAAAAAGTGAAAGCATTACAGGACAGTTGGCAGCAGCATTGAATACCAAAATTAAATTGCAAATATCTGATTCATCAAGGAAAATTCAATGTACATAAAAAAGAAGTCTGAAGTAAATGCTCCATTAGGCTATTTTCATTATAAAAGCTGTTTATAAGTAATTTTAAACACTTCCAGTCTAATAAATGTTAGTAAGACATTTAACAGGCTTAAAGATTTTATTTAATAAGATTCACAAAACTGAGCAACTTGGATTAAAGGGAGGGTTATTAATGATAATTTTCATCAATAATGTTGTTTAGGAACTAGTTGCTCTATTAGATAATCAATAGCAGACATACTTACTTACTTTACTTATATATAAAGAAAATTGTGCAGAAGCGACTTTCTTAAGCAAATGGGCATGTTTTCATGGATAAAAGCTCAGTGGGGCTCAGTAATTTTTTGCATGAATCTAAATTAAACCTAATGGATTAGACAGTAAGCAGTATATTTAGAAACATAAAAATGAAGCTTATTACAGTACAAAGTCCAAAATCCGGATTCGTTAGGACTTCGGCGATTCCGGATTTTTCTGGATATTTGATCATCAATTTAAATCTAGTAAGATGGCAAGTAGAAATTATAAAATTAAAAATATGAAATAATGAAGTATTTATAATCTAAAGGGTATAAAATAATAATAATAATAATAATAATAAAAGCTTAATATTTATTTGTTTACCTTATTAAATATTTCTTTCAATGTAAGTTGTTTAAGTTGCTTCATTTTTTGGGCTAATACTTTCTCTTTAATTCTGTATACAGACATAATCTCTTGTTGAAGTCCTGTAACTGCTGTTTTGAGAATTCCGATTAACTTGTCAATCAAAATTTTCTCTTTTTCAGTAACTTCACTTTCTTTACTATCTGTAGCGGTATTTTCTGAATCTAGAAATATACTACAGATTTCACCATTCATTAATTGACTGATGATTGAGAAGCATTTTCATCACAATGAAAACTTCTTTTATATCATCTTCATTTATTACCACTTCTCCACATTTCTTTACAAATTCTGTTAATTGGAAAATTTCACCTTTGTTTTGCAATATCCAAAAACCTTTAAAATTAGCAGATATCATCATCAAATTTAGCTATCCCTCACTATACATATTTGGCTATGCATCATGAGCTTGGCGACTAATGACAAGTTGTCCTGTTAAATTTTATCTTGCTTCTATCACGCGCTGAGACAATTAAGCCCGAATTGTATTAGTTTAGGTATTTACTATACCTATGTGTATTTCTTACACATGCTTAAGATTTATCAGAGTTTTGAATAAAAAAATTCCCACCATATACTTATTGAGGGCAGACGCTAGATATCTTACCGCCTGATGCAGTCTCTGTGGGTCTTAAATTCTGCGACTCGGTGCAGCCATACAAGCCCCGGCACTGGTTCTGGGTTTATGTGAATAACAAATCAGTTATTCTTAATTCAAATAGCCCTAAATGTAATCTTTGTGTCTATATTATCATCAACAAAATAGCATTGGGAAAGACATTTTTGGTAAATTTTTGCTCGTCAACGTTTTTTAGTGCATTTAACTTAAATTTGTAATCATCACCAAGCATAATGTCAACATAAAAGGTTGCCATACTCCTTCATTATTCAATTACTAACATGAAAAAAATTTAGGCATCGCTACATGAATCATTACTCAAGTTGTCATGTTTTGATAAGCATGTGTTGATGAAAGGAAAGTAATGATAAATAATGATGTAATAAATAATGATTCGCCAGATTGGTGTCCGATTAAAGATGTACCTATGTGGAATGTTTGGGTTTGAGATGTGTGCCAAAGGAGATACGCAGCAACGGAGCCAAATTATTGACCGTACAAATTTAAGTTAAAATGATTGTTTCTTCAATAACAAGGTATTTTATTTAGTTTCGAAGTGAAATTAAGAATCGGGACTCTCCAGATGTTCTATTATGCGTGGAGGGGGGGGGGAATCAAATGCACATGCATACACCTACAAGAAAACATTGTAGGTGGTTTTGAGGTCTGGATCATTCTGGATCTTTTAGATCATTCCGGATAATGGACGTCCGGATTTCGGACTTTGCACTGTATCTAAATTGTATACTTTTAACTAACTGCTGCATACTGTGAAATTCTCTGTATGCCAAATGGTCTGGTGATGCATATCAAGAAAAGGTGATAAACACCTGAAATTTATTACTGGAACTGCGAATGTATCAATTTATATCTATGTCTTGGAGAAGTGTTCATTTTAATAGTGCTCTGAAATTATATGTTTCATCAAAATTTCATACCATCATACAGCAAAACTAGTCAGTACAATCCACTCATTTATGGATGATTGTGTGCCTCATTTACAGGTTTTCATCGCCACAACAGAATGGATATTATAAAAGTAATTGTCTTTCTATTTCCTCCCTTTAGGTACAGATTTATGTAACAAAATATGATGTTAATCTGGTTGACTTTGTCACGGAATAGTTGCGATCTGAATTCCACTAAAAATTGGCATATATAATGGGTATCAAAACTGCTGCTAAGAAGCCTGCTACAAAAATTAAACTGCAGGAAAGAATTATTAGGGTTTGGATCTATGAAATTAGCCAGGATTACATTCAGAAGTTGATAGTAGGTCTACCTAAAAAGTATGCGATCTTGAATTTTTCCATGGGTAATAGTGATGCTAGGCCAGCACCACAGTACACAGTAGGAGACAGCTTAATGCAAATGCATAAACTTTTTTCTCAGCATTTTGGTGAGTCAGTCATTGCCTACTGCACATTGAATGATTGTTCTTATAAGTGTTCGTCAGATTTAGATTTTTCTTAAAATGACCAAAAATGCTAAACAACAGCACTGCATCAATTTTTGTCAAAAGCTTGGTGATTCTAGAAGGGAACAATTCATAAGATTAGCAGGCATTTGGAGACAGTGTTGTAGGAGTAACATGAAATAAGGAGTAGTTCAACCGATTTAAAAACGGCTGGACATCGGTGCAGAGTTATCTGCATTCAGGGATGCCACAACCTGCTCGGAATGCAGCTGTTGTTGAAAGGATAGAAAATCTAATAATGGGAGATCATTGTTTGACCATACAAGATACTGAAAAAGGAAGCCGACATTAGTAATGATTCTGCACACACAATTTTGCATGATGATTTGAACATGTATAGAGTAGCTGCAAAATCTGTGCCAAAGGTTTTATTTTTTAATATTTAGATAAATTATGTTAAATTTATATGTTTGCTTATTATGGAGTCATTATATCACTGTAATAGATTTTTTCTTAAAATGTTATGACATAAATAAGCAAAAAAAGACAGCTAACTTAAATAATTTAGTAGAAGCTGTTAATTTTGTGGATTTATGTTTGAATCAGCTTTTTAAATTTGCATAAAAAATTTAAAGATTTTCACACCTAAAATTCAATAATAAGCACAAAAGACACTAAAAAAATTAATTCTTAAATACTGATCAAAATCCAATTTGTTTTCTATCTTCAGTTATTTCCAAATGATATCACAAAATTTCTGAATCATTTAAACATATAGTTAAAAAATAAAAGATAAAAATAAAAGGATACAAGCTGGATCTTCAACATTTTGTTCAGTCATATCAATAAATGGATGCAGACTCAAGAGCTCTGGCACTAGAGGTAATGTTAAATATGGATGCCTCTCTCCAAGTTTCTGTAAGCACCTAAGAGAAGAATTTTATATTTTCAATTGATACAATAATAAGAAAAGCATAAACTATAAACCTCACTGTAATTATACTTTATATGCCAATAGAAAATTAAAAATATGCAAATAAAAAAAAATTGGCTACTCATTACTTCCAGATGGATCGTTTATCCTGGGGATAACGCATTAAGTTTTTTAATAAGCTATCAATGCAGAATTTCAAGCATTCTTTTGTAGTTAGACGGCAAGATGCAAGCATTCCATGAAGAGCTTCCCTTAAGTCCATAGAAAAGTCCTATGTAGAAAATGGAAAATAATTTTGGAAAAAATACACAGCAAACTGTTACATGTAAATTAAAAGCTAACTTTGTTACAAATTTCTTAGTCTCTGCCTCACTCTCTTTTTTTTTTTTTTTTTTTCTTCTATAACCATATACAGATGAATTCTAGTAATTCATGAAAGTATGTAATCCATGCTCATTTCTGGATGTAAACGAACAAAGTTTGTATTTTCAGCAAGGCAAATATAATGGTACTTTTTTCCCTTATATGTAGGTGCAAATAAGCATTTTAACAAAAATATACTATATTTATAACATATTTTGTTTGAAAAAGATGTATTAATTTTATTAGTGAAATAATTTTGCATTTTCTGTGTGCTTCAGCCCTCTCTTGTTATAGTAAATGCCAATCATGGTGTTTGTGCAAATTTTTCCTTTTAGGTAAATCCCCAAATTGTGTTATTAAGTTCATATGACTAGCAAGTGCAAAGAAATGATTTATCCACACATTTTAAGACAACTAATTTCAATTTAAATGTTCCTTGTAGCTGGTTTGTTTTGCATACTGTTCAACTAATAACCTTGTTCACATTAACAGAAAATAGGAAGAGATTCTTGAAACTAGCTGTCATAATTTTTCTGTCTACAAAAATAGAAACTATGGAACATAAAAATTTTCTTTCAAAATTTCAAATTCTAACTCTTCAGTAGATTCTAACGGTATAGACAGACACATATTTGACACTGCTTATTTCAATAAAAAGGGAGGTACAACAATACAATTATATGTTATAGCAGTCCCATATACAAAATTTTAATGTTCTATGGCTAATCGTTTTTCAGTTAGTTGAGATACATACATACAGATGTCATTTTAAATCCATTTTACAATTCATTTTGGACAAAAGAGTACTTTATTCTGCCAATACGTATAGATGTCATGCAAAAAAAAAAAAAAAAAAAAAAAAACATTCTAAATGGATTTGGGAACTGTCAAAATGGATAATTCCATTGAAATATGAAACCCAGTATTTTTCACTATTAAAATACTTCCTTTACTTTGTAAAAGGAAGTAAAAGGTATGCACAAATATTTGTACCTATTTATGTATGTATTATGTATGAATTTAGTTTGTTAAAATGCAAAAGGCATTTCATTTAAAGTCATTACCAAACTAAAGCAGCATTACCCTAACTTTAATATTCAAGATGACTTATTTATAAAAATGTGCATTTAGAAAAATTGTAAACATTATACAGTTAACTGAAATATGTACCTCTAATACAACTAAAATTGTTTTCAGCTGGTCTTCCCGAAGCATTATGTGCAGACTTATTTTCTGAAGGCACTGTATAGCTTTCAGACATACTTCTTCGGTTTCATCATTGAACATGTCCACAAGAAAATCCAAAGAAATAGAAGCAAAAGAAGGGAAATGAGTAGCAAGTTTACAAAATGAGTCCAAAGTTGCAGTTCGAACCTCTGAAAAGATAAAAGACATATATATTTGCAATCTACAATTAGCTACAGAGTTAAAATAACACAATGAATAACGATTATTTGAAGTGCTAAGGCAAGAAGAATCAGTATGATATTCATAAATTTGCACCACTAGTTTTGAAGGTTTAAATACAAAATCTTTGTCTTTGGAAATGCAAGGCAACAAGAATCAGTATAATATTCATAAATTTGTACCACTAGCTTTGAAAGTTTAAATACAAATTCTTTATCTTTGGAAGTGCAAAAAATATAAACTTTTTTTGCACTTCTTCAACTGAAGAAGAAAGTTCTACATTTAAATTTTGAAAACTAATCCTGTAAATTTACGAATATTGTATTGACTTCTGTTACCATTAATAAAATTATACATACAATCAGGCAAAGTAACAACAACCTTGTGTTTGGCTTAGATTTAAGTCAAGACTCTATTGATTTCATGGACAAACAAGTACAGGTCCCTCTTCATCAGGAGCAAAGAAACCTGTAACAAAGGGAAAGCCATGGTTGTATTTATACCCAAAAGTAGTAAAGCAAATGAGAAGGTAGTGCCATCTGTCGGCAGAACTAGTAACGAAAATTAAAAAATTAAGTTAATAGAATTTTAAAAGTATTAGGAAGGACTGAACCAGAATTGAAGTCCTTAACTAAACATGATAAAATCCTTATGAGTGTGAAAAGCTCCAAGCAAACCCAATTCACCAAAGGCAGAAGCTTTTGGATAATTGTTGCAGATCCAAAGTCAAAACTGTGCTTAAATTTCCAGCTATGATCAGCTATTGAAGACTTAAATTTTGCCTTTTTGGATTCATGTTCCTTGATGTGAAACTTTACCTTTCTAATGCTTTAAAAATTCAATTAACTTTTGAATTTTTATTACTATTTCTGTCACTAGATTTCCCTTCTATGAAGATTTCGTTGCTTCTAATGAAAAGGGAACTGTAACTGCTTCCCCTCAAAAAAAAATCTTGACTAAAATCTATGGAAAACAAAAGGTTATTGCCTTGTCTAATTTCCTGTTTTTCTTCTCTCTTGACTTTTACAAATGTTAAACAGTCTTCGAAAACTGTACTTTTATGTACATTAAATTTATCTTGTATATCATCAGATCCAACAAAATTTCAGGAATCTTAAAAAAATTAAACATACACCTTTTAGTAAACATGCTGCAGCTGCACCCAAAAAGGGAAAAAAATAATAATAATAAAAGAAGCTTACCAACTTCTAGCTTTTTTAAGTACAACATATAGTACACACACACGGGGGAAGGAAAAAAAAAACTAATTAAACTTATTTCTAATATTTTTGAAACTAAAAATATTTGTATGAAATTATAAAGCCAGGGGGAGGGGGGGGAGCTGAAAAAATTATTCATAGTTTTTAAGTCCCTGTTTGGTTTTTAGAAATTCTCAAATTGTTCAGAATGTACCTTCATAGTTATTTGACACATTATGAATATTATTCGTCATGCACACATGTAAACACATATACGTAATTAAAAAATAAGTGATAAGAAATAATACACTCTTTTACAAAAAAAATCGAAACACCATGAAGGAAGTGGTTGTTTTTGATGAAATTGAATATGTGTATAGCTCATACACAGATAATACAATGATTAAAAAATCAAGGTCATAGTACCTGTTCACGGCTCACAATCACCCATTGAGAAGTAGCTAGTATTGTTCAAATTAGTAGTTGGTCGAACCGCTCTTGGCGGCAATGCATGCTTGAATTTGCCGAGGCAAGGAGTGGTAGAGGTTCCTAATGTCATCCTGCGATACATTCTGCCAGGCATTCATCAGTTGCCGCTCCAGATCTGTGATATTTTGCGGTGCCCGAATCTGGCAGCCTACTATATCCCACACATGCTTGATTGGTGAAAGGTCTGGTGACCTTGCTGGCCAAGGAAGAGTATCATCAACCGCACTACAGATATGCGAGCGGTATATGGCTTGGCATTACCTTGTTGGAAAATGGCCCCAGGATGACAAACCATGAAGGGTAATGCAACCGGCCACAGGATGGTATCAACATATCGTTGTGCTGTTAAAGACATACAGAGATGACCTCCTGGCATAAGATATAGTGCCCCACAGCATCATGCTAGGGGTTATGGCTGTATGCCTTTGTAAAACTCTTTAAAAGGCTGATTGGGACCGCTCAACCCCTCCTCTCCAGACACGAACACAGTAATCATCTGCTTCAAGAGTGAAGCGGGATTCATCACTGAACACTATACTATGCCAGTTTGATGGCAGCCATAATGATCGGCTGCGACACCACTCCAGACGACTTCGATGTTGTGGGGTCAAAGGCAATGTCTTAAAGGCCTCTGTGAGCTCTACACAGGAGGTATAGACATGGCTGCAGTGCAATCAATAGTTGACAATGATACTGTTGGGCGGTTCGGGCCTGGCATACAATCATCCTATCTTGCCTCGCATTTGTGATCCTTGGCCTTCCAGAGCCTAAATTTCATTGGCAAATTCCTTGTAGTAACAAATGCTGCCAACATCTTTGCACAGCAGTGTCTGTACGCTGCAGTTGTCGGCCTATTGCTCGGTATGACCAGCTTCATGTAACCTTACTATGTGACCACGTTCGAAGTCGTTTAGTTGTAAGGTTTCCGATATCGTTGTAATGGCATCTTTAGTTGCTTCTTTATGGAATTGCAATGGCAGCAACAAAAAAGATAAATTTTCTGCCTCTGTTACTGGATTTATATTTTGTCAATAGTGCACTAGAAATGTGCGCTATGATCGCAATTCCTTTGCCTTGAAACTTTGATCATTTGAAACGATCAAGATGTTTCTGCATACCAAATTTCGTCACGATCGCAAAAGTCCTTCTTGGTGCTTCGATTTTTAAAAAGAATGTATATATTACTTACAAACAACTAATATCTGAATCAGCTGTTAGTTGTAAAGTCAATGATTAATAGATGATTATGGCAAACCAATGTTGATAATCAGATTTTGAATATGAAAGAGTAATTAGAACCTAATGAGCGAGATTCAATTTCAGAAGTTGTTAAGGCATTTAAAATTCCATGATCTATTATGCCATGAGTACTAAAAAAATATCTCATAGAAAGGCATTTGTATGAAATATGAACAGCAGAACAGTCAACCAAACGTGATTAATAATCATGGTCAGTGACATCTGGCCATGATTGCCTTTGCTGACAAACAAATGACAATGTCTAAAATATCATCCATCCATGATTGCTTTTGCTGACAAACAAATGACAATGTCTAAAATATCATCCATATTCAATACAGAAGATAAAGCAACATGGTAAGGGTATTGAAATTTTACCTGAACATGATATAATAGCAAAAGACATCCTGAAGCACCTTTTTAACAACATGTCATTAGGCACAAATCTTACATGGCCTTGCAAATGCATAAATTGTAGCCTAAATTGCTGCAAAAGGCAGATCCAATAAATCAGAGTACCAGTAAGTACAAGCTGATTATACGGTTTGCGTAGGATACAGACTCCATAAGATCAAGTTTTTGACAAGACAATATGCAAACTGATGGTGGCTTCATAATGAAAGATAAACTAATAAGTTTGTTTTGAATCTTTCTGATTTTGTTCTGTTAAACATGCAATTAAATTAGAAATGAACGTTCAGCCACTTCTTGAACACCAAGGCTGACATTTAAATATGAGGTTTCGTTCCCTAATTACAGAAATAAATAAGTATTTACTAGGCACTGGGCAAAATAATGTCAAATTTTGAAATGTTGAAAGTACGCAGAAACATTTTATTCTTTAAATGAGCAGCTTAAAAGAAAAAAGTTTCAGATGGACGCTGGAGTAACACAGGCTTGGTTCAGATACCAGCTAGCTGACAGAATCTTTGCTGCTGAAATACAAAAACTCATGATCAAACAAGGAAATCACGTTTAGAGACTAAGACTAAACACAGATAATTTCAATTTATCTCTCATAATTGTCAAGGAATTAAATCAATTCAAATAATTACTATACTACACACTCCCGATAAGGATTATATAATATTATATAGATATAAAAATAATCAATGTTTCTTATATAACTGATCTTTATTATAAGACAGGGATATTATTACCTTGTAATTCATCTTCAAATCCATGAACAAAAGCTCCACACGCTCCAGAACTCATAAGACTTACATCATCTTCAACTTCTTCCTTTGGTGCTTCAGTCTGCAACTTTTTTCCAGTGGACCATTCAGTGCTTTCATTGCCTTCTTTCTCACAACCCGATCGTTTTTTCTGAAACAGGAAATTTTAATTTTTAGAAGTGATCTCTTATTGGTAAATTACTTTTCAGTGTCAAATTTTATAACTTGGATATAAATGATATATTGAAAGCTTTTTTTTTAATCAATTACCTCAGGTTAAATTTATACGGTATTTCTCCTGTCTTCTTAGCATATCTTCATGGTGTAGTGGTCAGCACATTCGGCACCTTTGAGAGGTTCCTGGTTCGAGTCCTGATGAGGGCACTGCTCATTTTTCATGTCTCCTGCTTTCAAAAATACCTAATGTCTCTACAGTGGGACACAAACTAAAAAAGGTGGTGGATGATGATTCTTCACTGACAGGATTTAGTGATAGGGTCCCCTAATCCCCAGTTGCTTTTTAAAAGTGAGAGTTTATAAGGTATTTCTCCCACCTTCTTAGGTATTTCTCCTGTCTTCTTAGCATGCTTTCGTGGTTTAATGTTCAGCATGCTCAGCACATATTCGAGAGGTTGGTGGTTCGAGGCCTGGCAAGGGTATTGCTAATTTTTCATCTCTTCTGCTTCGAAGTGTTCTAATGTCTATAATTTTTTTTGCAATAATTTTGTTTGGTGACAAAGCATCACCCGTGGTAATTTGTAACCCCTATTTACTCTTGCTTCTCTCCAACAATCTGTATATATTAGTCATGCCTTGAACATGGTAGTTTTAATTACATACATTTAAGTTTCTGAAGTTTTTCAAGAATTAAAAAAAAAAAAAAAAAAAAAAAAAAAATGTTTCACAACAATTGCTGCTGATAGTCCATTGCTCAGATAATAAACTACATGCATTAGCAAAAATGTAAGTTTCATAAGTTTTCTTCTTTTGTAAAAGCATATACTTCTATCAAATTCAAGTTTTCTGTTTGCTCATTTATTTCATCTTTGGTGCTTACAATTGATCTCTTGGCTAGGGTGTGGGGGGAAAGACCATCAAGAAAAATGAGACCTGGTAACTGAAACTACAATTTTTCTTGATTTCTAGCAAATACTATTTTTTAATCTCATTTAAATATAGTAACTACTAATAGCATTTAAACCACAAAGCAATATTTCTAAATAATAATAAAGACCCAGTAACCTCCATAAATAAATTCTATCTCAAAGAAAATATTTGCTTAATTTTATCATAATAAATGGAAACAACTAAAAATAGACCAGGCAGAGCCATTCTAACATTACACAATTTTTTTGTCATATTTGACGTTTTGAACATTTCTTATTTTTAAGTTCTGAATTGAGTCAGTCTCTTCTACTCTTTTCAAAATAATCTAAAAACACAAAAAAATTCCCACATATCTATAAACTGTTTAATTTACAAAACATCACTAATTTGACAGGAAATATTCAACAGCAAAAAGCAGTAACACTTTAAAAATTATCACTTGAATCATATTACATACTACATTCTTGGAAAGCAATATCATCCTGTAATACTTTAAAAAATGTATTTTTGAATATTCTAAATAGATAGTTAAATATCTTGCCATAGTAAATAAAAGTACAGCAGAATCCCAATTAATCAATATAAACAGGACTGAGCAGTAGCAAAATAATACGGAATGAAGCCACAATATTATACCCTATAACCAACTACTATCAAAATATTATACTGTTATAATTTCTAAGAAAACTTAAATTCATATAAACTAGGTACAAAGCAAGGCATTTTAAATTACTATTAACATGAAGCCATGATTTTTAACCATAAATTACTTTATCGGCTGTAATGAAATTTTTGTTTTGGCCAATAAACTTCTAGATATTAAATATTTAAGTCTAACCAAAAGTGTTCATAAGAATTTTAATTTAGATGGTCAAGGCTTTCAATGTTAAAATTACTTGTGCAACTGTAACTCAGATCACTGGAAATTTAAAAAAAAAGTCAAAAACCCTTTGAAACTCCAGATTCCACAGATGCTCTTTTTTACTAAAATAAATAATTCACTAAAAATGTAATCATGCTATATTTGTAATATAATTTGTTTGCAATTTTCTTTCTGTTAGAAATGTGATAATACTGTAATTTAATTTGTTGGCAATTTTTTGTCATTTTAAAGGTGTGTAAAGCAATTTCTTTGATATGATAAATAATGAATGTATCTTATAAAAAACAGTAATCATTATTATAAAACAATTTTTATACTGATAAAATTTTATTGCTAATAAAACTGTTAATGCATGTAATTTCATGCACTTCATATTGCATGATATTAAAAATGCATCAGAGTTTGGGGCTTCAATCTGTTGTGCATAATTAATTACATTCACCAAACTTCAATGGTAGTTCTTAATATTTACCAGTAAATGTGATTATTGTGCATTAACCAAAAGATGTGGTTATTATTAATACTAACTGGATTTTTTTTACTTACATACAAATCTAAAAATAAGGATTTATACAAAACAAAAAATTTGCAGATTCACAACCCATATTTACTATAGAAAAAATAAGCTAACATAAGAAAATGATAAAATTTTTTAAATAATGAAATGTGTTAACTTTTCCAAATAAAATATGTTAAAAATATTGTGCACTTTTGTTAACAAATTTATTTGTATATTTATGTAAGAAACAATTACTGTTAAATTAACCACTCTGTATTTCCTAAAAATAACGATTTTATTTCAACCAAAAATGACCGTAGATTACTAGTATTTATGAATGAAACAATAGTGAATTATTGGAATCACACAGTGTGATAAATATTAATGGAAGTGATAATAGATGTAAAATTCAACACATTATGGGGGGGGAAGGTGAATATCATGGTCATGACGATTATGATTGCTTTTCTTAGAAAATTGTGTTTCTCACTTGAAAGAAATATCCACAATATATGGTGAATGAGGACATAAATAGCATTAATATCTGATTATGTTTCCATGTTTTTGGGATAATCAAAAGTTTAATTATCAGTTCTATGTAATCTTAACTAATAATGATAATTATTAGGCAGTTAGCAAATGATTACTTTGCACTGAAGTGCAAAATATATATTAGAATCATTTGTTATTTACTGCAATTGCAGTACAAACACTTCTAAAAATGATTAAATAGGTATACATAAATGAAATTGTATGGATAAGATGTATTATATTAATTAGAAAGACTATTAAAAATAAAATAAAAATCATAAATTATTATTTTAATAAAATATCTACTACTTTGAAACTTAATTTAGTTAAAAAATGCATAGTTTTTATATTAAAGATGAAAATAAATATAATAAAGATGAAAATTTCATATCATATCAAATATTTTACATCTGTGAACTGGAAATTAGCGAACCCTGTGAGTGATAAATGCACTATAACCTTATAGGACACACCACAAGATATTTCTAATATGACTACAATAATTTTAATAAGTATGAAGCAAAAGGTTTTTCTCAATAAATAACTTTTGCATCAAAAAAGTAAATTCCTAAATCTTACGAAAAGCCAAATTTAGGTACTTTTCTGTTATCAGAACTGGATTCAGAAATGGACATATATATATGTACAAATGTGTACATGTGTGTATACATACACACATACATACATTTCTAAATCTGGCCCTGATAAAAAAAAAAATTAAAATATATATATACAAACTCACATACATAGATAATTACAAGATATTAATGATCACTTACTTTTAATGTAGCCATTAACTTTTTGTCAAGGGTTTGGTTTAAAAATTCTAAACTGACTTCTTTAAATCCACCCTATGAGTAGAAACAATATTTTTAATACGAAATGCTAATAAGGCAACAACATGCAATTTATCAGCTTAACAACAAGTAAAAAATAAAGAATTCTTACAAAATATTAATTCCAGTAACAAGAAAAATATTGCTACCTTGAAATCTCAAGAAATAAGAAATCAGTTTCCCTGTGAATAAATTTTACAAAGTAAATTGAATATAGCAGACGTATTATAACAGTGTTTCTGTTATAAACTGCTCTATATGCTATATTTCTAGATATTACACAGGTGTTGCTTAAAACCAAATAAATAATGTGCTAAGCACATTATAGCAACAAAATAGCTAAGCAACAAAATAGCGATTTACAAATCACATGAATAACATGAAATAACACATTTAGTTACCAAAGATCTAAAAATCTGAAACAGAACTTTGGTCTGCATGTTCAAAATAAATTTGCCTGGGTGAAAGTGTTCATAGTAATAAGGAAGGCCTTAAATTAGATGATGACTTGCTTTCTTTGTTCAAGTGTTTTTAAAAACATACTTGTGAAGAAGATATAGTTTACATTACTTGCAAATAAAGTCAAGTTTTGATAATATATCAATTACAAGAATATATCAATTAAAGATATTTTTCTATTAATGAGACAGCAGTTGCCAAACTGGTAGTCTCTTTACATTGCCCTTTGAAGATTTGCAGTTGCTTAAGCAGATGAATTGGCAGCTGTCAATATCAGAGGTGACTGCGACCCCATCTCATAAATCCTGAAAAACAGTGTGCTATAAAAATCCTACATAAATCTAAATAATTCTGAATATTGTTGTGAAAACTCTCAAACATGCGTACATACATATTTTCAACCTTTTCCACTAGCAAATCAAAAAATATAATTTTTATTTTATTAACAATTAATTTATGTTTTACAATACCAATTCACACAGTTGCCCATCTATCTGGTTTCTCAACAATTTTTTTTTAAATAACTGCTAAGCTGAACTTACGGTTTTTTTGGGGGGGAAAGAGGGGTGATTTCTAGGAACTACTGTGTCTGCATTTTTCTTTGCTAACAACTGAAAATTCAGTAGGAACAGCAAGATATTTCAATATAGACCTTTTAAGATATTTCATTAAATGTAGCTCCCTAGAATTGCATAGAATACTCTTAAAAGGAAGAGAATATCAAAATATCATTTGATATTTTTAAAATGTTTTCACACCTTTTGATATTTATTCAACATATTTGATGCAGGCTTTAAATATTAAATTAGAATCCATGGGAAAGTTTTGTGAAATATAAAGAAATTTGGTAAACTGTCCAGTTATACAATATCCCTAAAATTTTTACCAAAAATCATCATGCCCAAAAGTTTTGCACAATGAGAGTAAATAATAATTCAGTCTTTGCAGCATTTAAATATTACTCTTCAAGGAAGTTCTTTATTCTGATATCCCTAATATAATTAAATGAACATTTAACAACAGAGACAGATTTAATTAGGTTTTTCAATGCTAGATATTTCTGTTTGCTGCCTTCTTTTAGACTGAATATTTCAACTCAAAACTTTATAATATCATCTTTTTTCAGTTTCTGTCTACTTTTTTTGCTCAGATAAGATGTATGACCTTTCACTACACTTATGAAAATTATATAATCTCTGAATAATATATTTATTCTAAAACAAAATTTGAAACAGATTTTCATTTTACAGATTTCTGATTACAGAGTCTACATTCACAAATACAGAAATTCCGGATTTGAAAAAGTAAAAATTCCAGAATTTCGGCTATATCCAGACTACAATCCCCCCCACAATATGAACAGCTACTTTTTAACCATAAATACAACTTTATTGATCCTGATACAGGATGCCATGTGCAAAACAGAAAAATAAACTCACTGCATTCATGTTGTGAAGATTGTATGAAATGATACAAATGTTTTTGCCACTGTTAAATGAAATCAGCAGTTTTATTTCTCTGAAATTAATCTGGTTAAATCTATTATGTATTTTTGTATCCAGTCATTCCTTTAATGAAGCTTCATATGTCATTAGCATTAGTTAGCTTTTGCACCAATATTTATGTCTGGCACTAAGTGGCAACCCATTAACAAAAAAAGTACCCACTTAAAAACTCACAAATTAAATTGAGTGATTTCAAAAACAGAATTAATTTTAAAATTTTAGCACTGAATTCAAAATTTATGGTTAAGAAGGAATAATATACCCCTTTTATTACATAATTTTTACTTCAACTTTGGTTACATGAATTGCCCTTATGAGATTTCAGGGTTCCTATTGAAATTTAACTTCAAATTTCACTGATTTTCCACAACCAGACAACTACTTACTAACCACACATAATGAATTGCTCATTAAATTACGTATAAGAAATGTAATTAATATGAATTAATAAAAAGAAACACATGTAGAAAATAGGCATCTAAACCATTCAAAATAGAAAGTAGCAGTTTTTATACGGAAAATATCAAATCTGATTTTTTTAAAAATTGTTCTTGAAAAGAAATTTATTAAAACATCATTCATTAAAATCTTGTCTCTTTGAAGTTTCAAAATAAAACTGAAAAGTTAAGAAAAACACTGGATTGGATAAAAATGTTAAATCAATGCAGTATTTATTATAATGAACAGCCGTACAATAGACCAACTTGTAAATTACATTTATTTCTGCAGGTTATACTTCTAAATGGAAAGGAGGCAGCAAACACATGTTTTTAAATAGAAAGGTGAACAGCAATTCACAAACAGATAAAGTGAAGAGCTATGAGTTCATGACATCAGATACGAGCTGGGTAAAATATTTTCTGCATGAAAAATAAAAACTATAATATATAACTATTTGTTTTTTTTTATAATACACATATTTTTTTATTATCTATTGTTAATAACATCAACCTTATGTTAGGAATTGGGAGAACTGATGAACTTTTTTCTCCTTCTCTTAAATTTTTGGGAAAAGTTTATATTTTTCCATACTTTTTTTTAAGGGGGGACTATATTTACCCTGACCATTTATCATTTCTGACTTGCAATGCTTACAATGTTCTTTTCTGTTAATGGCTTTTCATAGGTATAAATTATTAATGCTTTTTATTTGAATGCACATATTGTTATCAGATTCTTAAATTCCAATTTTTATAAATTAGAATGCTCAGCAGACCACTTCACAGTTGTCCCCTCTGAAAGCAAATTATTTTTAAGTATATGTTACTATTCAGATTTTTAAAATGGTATTAATTAAAATTAATTTAATTTTATATTGATATTAAGTAATTATGTTAATAGAAGAAAATGTATATTCAATTTTAATAATTCAAGGCAAATGAACTTTTGATAATCTTAGGAACTAAAAATTATATAGGAGATGGATTAAGTATGAGAAGCCTTACGATTCTTGCACAGCTATTTTATATTTAGATGTATATTGGTAACAGCACCACAGCCACTGTGCTTTAAATCCCTCTTTCGTTGCTAAGACTAAAAGTGGGAAATTCGTAGGTAGGATAACTAGTAACAAGTTTCATAAAATGTCAGTCTTGGGAGAAAGGTGATAGACAACTGCTATGTCTAACTTTCAAACTCTGATATTTTCAGCTACAGTACGATATGCATAATTAATCTGAATTTTATATTTTTGGAAATCTGGGAGGACTACAGTTTCAGAACAGTGAACTAAAGCATCATCAAAAGCTAAAAAAAGTAACTGATATATTGTTTTATTTGCAGAGTCATAATCTAACCACAAAGAAGGGGGGGGACTCTCAAATCCTTCTTAAATTTACACGTTTACAACACTAAGCTTATTTCTAAGACAATCTAATTTGTTACATTTCACTTAAAACAGAAAAATTAAGACATTCATTGCCCAAACACTAAAGAAAAGAATCAAGAAACAAAAAAAAAAAAAAAAAAAATAGAACTAGATTTTATTCTTGTATGTATCTAAATACGGCTCCCTAAAATTGAACAGAATACTCTTCAGAGGAAAAGAATAACAGCACTTAAATTTTGACATTGAACCTTACCTTGACAAAACCTGTAAGGTAAGTAAACTTTACAAACTGAATTGCTTTATTATAAAGGAAAATAATAGTAAAATAAAAATACAAGTTCAAAGAGCCATAGTACGATAGTTCCTCTTCAAATAGGCATAGAGAAACTTTAATTAGCCATGTAGATACATAACTGAGATCCTTTGGAAGTTTGAAAAAGCAATTTGACTGAATTAATCAGTTTCACTTTTCCTTACTCGCAAAGTATTTCTACAGGTGATGATTTATTTCTTAATAAGACTGAATTTCCATAAAATAATGGTAGTTAATTCCCACAGAATCTAACAAATTTAAAACTGATACATGAACTGCTCTCCTAAAAGAACTCCACTTCCTAAAACATTTGTTACTCCTCACTGGTAAATCCTTCACTGACAAAATAGTACTGGTTTAATTCTAATCCAATCATCAAATTGTAACAAGAAACTGCATTTGGCTTGCAGAATAAAAACAACTGTATCACTCATAGCAGATGTACTTTTCAAATTACTGCACTCTTTTTTCAAGCAGAAATACAATACCTTATGCCAATTAAAACAAAAACAATGCCCTAATTCATTTTAGTAAAACAGAAATAAGAGTACTTACAAATTATACCAGCTCATATTTTCTTGGCAAACATTTTTTGGTACAAGTATATAGTTTTTGGCAGCAAACAACTTCAGAGACATTTTGACAACTCTTATCTGTTTTTTGTATCTAATTTTTCTTCTATAAAAAGAACAACCTCAGTAACAATCATTTGGATTTTTGTTTTGGATCTTTCAGTGCATAGATTTCATTCACTACTTTATTTTATTTTTTATTTTAGCTGCTAAGCATTTTATTAATAATGACAAGCAAGTAAAGCTTCCAGAATTTGCCACAGATGAAGTCAGAAGCTGCATACCAAATGTCACTGGCAATATTTTGTAACTAAAATGTCATCACTAAGAAAATGTGAATAGGAATGGTTGGTAAGTACTGAATAAGTTATGTGTTTTGCTCTATATGAATACAAACAAATGCTT